GGGGGGGGGGCTTCTTGACCACCTCTCCCCCTGTCCATGGGTCTGATGGCAAACACTTAGTCTAATGCAACATGTATGTATTTCACTGCTCAACACTGCTAGACTTAACTGCAGATATTTGAAAAAGAAAATGGCGTTTCTAAATTCTTGTGCTTCTGCTCACAATTCAGAATAAATAAAACATCTACCTATCTACTAGCAGTATTTTAGTTACAAACACTGCTGTAATCAGTATGGGTGCCCAGCTGTATTAACACCAACATAACCCAGCAGATAAACTTGTTTTTCAATTTCAAATTCATTAAAAGTAGTTCTGAGTGTGTTTGATTTATCACATCATGTGAGCATTCTCTCTAACATTGATTCTCATCATTTTAACCCTGCAGCTGTTTGACCTAACAGACTGTTTGGACTTATCTGTATTGGTGCTGAGTAAATATATGATGTCTTGGCAAATATATAGCTAACACAATTTTTAATTGAACTGTCTTCAGTTTTTCTGTTGTTTAAATGTATATATGCTTACTCTACCACCACTCTACAAATAATAACAACAATAATTAAATAAACAGTTCCCTACATTTTCCAATAAAATGCACCACCAATATCTATAATTCTAAAATCCAGTTGACAGTAATGTCTTTGCGGATATTTCACCATGAAGCTTACAAAAAATGGTTGCAATATCAATTATTTCTTAATTTCTGTTAAAAGGTATAGTGTATAACAAAAGGTTCTCCAAATGACGCATCCCAAATTCTAAACTATGGGAATAACTTTACTCAACTTTCAAACATCTCTCTCATTCCTATATTTTAATTTGCCTAAATTCATAACTTTAACTGACTCACAAAAAAACCTACACTTTGACAGTCACTTTACAAAATGCAAGATTCATCATTTTAGGTACATTCAACAAAATATAGTACTGAGAAATAAAATTCATCTATCAAGTTCAGAGAAAATCTGCCTGTTGAGAAAATTTACCGTAATCCCTTGAGAATCTGTCTGGTACTGGACATCAATACTCCAGCAGACCTGCTTGTACAATAAGTTCACCTTCCTACTATGGTACTAATTTAACCATTACTAGACAGAACAGAACAGGATAAAATGCAGTATACTTATTACATAATATATAGAGAGATAATACAGTCAGTACCTGTATCTCACATTAAATATACAAACACAAATAATTGGGCAGCAATGAGAAATTATTAAACATAGCCCTTTCTTAGGTGCTCAATGCAATTTTACATTTCTTTCAAAACGCTGGAAAATTGCCAGAGAGCCTTGCGCTTTAAACCTGTATGTTCAATAAATTCACAAAGCCTTTGCACGTCTGAATTAAAAAGGAGCCATTACCTTTGAGAAACCTGGCCAAAGTGACAGGTGAATAAACTAAATTAATCAGCCTTCCAAAAAGATGCATGTCTACTGTGTTAAGGGTCCAAACCTTATCCTTTCTCATGACCTACAAACCTACCTTTCTATCAGTCTAAATTCGGAGTTCAGTTCTTCAAAAAACAAAATATCCTCAATTTTGCTCTTAATTTTGAACTTTGATCTAAAAATTAAGGACTGTATTACTATATGTGTCTCTTCTTAAAAAAACTATTCAACTCTTAAAGACAAACTATCCCTTCTTAAGTTGGTCTTAGATAAATGATAAATCAACATTAAACAATCCACACCCTCTCACGTGCCAAGGTCTATTAGATAACTATTCAGAAATATGTGCTTATCACATTCCTTTAGTACATTTACAAAATTCTTGATAAAAAAATGCATTTAATACAAAGCAATTAGTTTTAAATAAAAAAGAGTGCTACTTTTTCAGCCTTTTGACATCAGAAGCAAATGTGTTTTCTCAATAATTTAAATGAAAGCAAATGGTCTTCCTAATATTGTGTGAACAAGAATGATTAAACATATGCTTCTGGTGGTAAAAACCTTGGTCTTCCTAATATTTTGTGAATAAAAATGATAAAACATATGCTCCAGGCAGTTAAATCCTTTCTAAGACATATTAGAATTTGCTAGAAGACAGCTATAAAAGAACTGAGCTAGTTTCCAAACAACAACAATAAATTCGTACATGTTTGATTAAAGATGAAATAACATTACCTTCAAAAGTTATAGATTGTTCACTACAAAATAACATATATAAACAAAGAAGTTAAGTATACTGTTTTACTTTGCTTTGCATTTTTTGTTGAGAGACTAGCAGAAATTCAGGGTAATACCATTTCATCAAAACTAGTGAAAAAAGTAAATTGTTTCTACATTAATAATCCTTAAAGTTTGATGTGTCAAAATGACACACGAAGGTGTACTCTTAAAATATCTCAACTCTGAGACAGAAATTTCTGTCTTAATAATGGATTTGTATAGTGAGAAATTAATGTTAATGCCTAGAAGCTGGGTTCTAATTATCATTGCATTGCTGTTATGACACATCTGGGAATACTTAATCATAACTTATTCATACAAAATTAAATTTTAAATATAATGAAGCGTTCAAAAATGAAATGTGATACTTCCTAGCTACAATGTTGAAATATTTTCTATGATATTATATTTCTGGATAATAACACTTTAACCACTATTTTGACTTTATTAAAAAAGAAAAAGAAAAAAAAGGTACTTCTTATATTTCATTCTACAATGTTTCAGGACAATATTCAGGTGGATTGCAGCCTGGTTAAAGCATGAAACATTCTGTGGTCAACATATATTTCATGTACTGTTGCCTATACTGGAACAAGTAAGTACATCCACATTAATGACATCAGCTCTGTACATAATGTCCGATTAAAATTGCAAGGTGTAATAGTCAGTAAACTCTAATACAAAAAAAAAAAAAAGAAAAAAATCTGATGAATTTTCATGATTTTGAATGCACAAATGCCGTGTTCGACATATTAATCAACTCTATAGGCTGAGTGCATGCAAATGTCATTTTATCAATTTACTAAAGAATTTTTATGCATTTGAGCATATTTTTGGGGAATTTTGGTAGTCAAGTGTGACAATATGGTAAGAGCTCTACTGATTTAATAAACAAGTTTACAGAGACTGAGCTAGGAAAATGAAAGAAGGTCAGAGCTCATTGCCCATAACTACATACCAATCACACTTACAGAATCAAGAAATTATATAGTTCCTGAGCATATATAAGCAGGTTGTAATATATCTAAATAATACCATTGTTTGTTCTACTTCAACTTTATCATATTTATTTATAAAAATATATTTATTCCTTTACTCATTAATCTGAAAAAATGTTGTGTCAATTGTGGTGATTACCTGCAGTGATTTACAAGATCAATGGTTGTAGATCAATACAAGTTACAACTTAAGAAGTTAAGTCATGATCAGATGCGGTTTGAACCAGGATATACTGTATGATTGAATATCAGGCCCGTAGCCAGGGGGGGTTCGGGGGGTTCGAAAGAACCGCCCCTTTTGCTGGGAAAAGGTCCACTCTGGGTAAAATTTGATCTAGGTACATAAAGTTTTTAAGGAAAAAGGTCCACTTTTTCAGAAAAAGAACCCCCCTTTTGAAATTGCTGGCTACGGGCCTGAATATGGTCATATTTAATGGAGACAGTCATGAAAATTAGGTTGAAATAGCTATGGCATTGCCTAGGCTGCCACTTAACTGGCAATGTTCTAAGAAAGCAAAAATGTATATCTTAAAGTTGCTATCTCCTTTCAACTACAGTATCTGTACTCGACTGGATTCCGCCTGCATTGCGAAAACGAAGCCTCAACAACAGCCCGAGTGTGAAAACTGGGGTTTGCAATGCACTTCATCTAAACGCTTTGCTAACAAAATACACCATTTATCTTCTCGAGCATTTTCTTGTGCAATGTCACACATATTTGGCATAAACCCCACTTACCCGGGCCGTCAAACTTCTCCATCGTGGTCTTGTTTTGGTGCAGACACCGGTTACACAAAAAGTGATGACGTATCACACAATTTTGTCTTGTTCGTCTTTGTTGAAAAAATGTGAACAGCTGATGCTGCTTTTAAACTAAATATTGAGTAATGTATGATATTTATTTAGAACTTTCATATTATAATGAGGGAGAAGCTTTCATGAAATGTCTATTAAATCATTAGACGAGAATGAGCGAGAGTTCATGACGTCATCCACAGTTGAAGTGCGGGAAGCGCAAATGCCGACTAGGTAAGGTTTTCAGTAGACGGGAATGTCAAAATATGTGTACAGTAATGGTTGCAGTAAGAAATAAATGTATTCTAATTATGTCCTGAATCGTAGCTATTACGACAGTCTCATTTGTGTATGATTTAATATACATCCCATTAACATTTGCTCTGCATCCCTTATTATTCCAGAAATTCGTAACCCAAAGAAAATTGCATCAGAAATATATTGTTCTTCAGATTTTCGACTTGCAATTAGCGTTTGGCATTGTTATTTTATAAAACGCGAAGCTTTATTCTACCTCTAGTGCTATCTTTGTGTAAATTTTCCACAGTTGAAGCTGGCAAGCATGCATCTGAATGAGCCCATTTATGCATTAATCTAAATGTTTCAAAATATTCTACTCTCTCCCTGGGAATGGTTCTTTACATAGTTTACATGCATAAAACTTGTTTTAATTAGGAATGAATGATGGCCACAGTGTCTCCAGACAGCACACTCCTGGGAGACTTAATTGAGGCTTCAAGCACATCAGATGACAAAGAAAACCAGCACTCAACCAAACCCAGTAGTTTGTTATCTACAGTGCCTTGGGACAGGCACGGAGATGCAGTCTTCAAGGCAGTCTCCAACACAAGAGTGCTAAAGCGGGAGAATCCTTCTGACCCTTTCTTTCTAAATGTCAGTCCCACCAAGCAGGTTCCCACAGGAGAGAATGGGGAGCCCCTCTGTGGCCAACCAGTGCCATTTTTCGGAGGGACAGCCACACAGTTTACAAACACAAATGTGTGTATTTCTAACATTTATTGGTGTACCCCATTAATTTTGCTCATTGATGTGCTGAAAGTTGTTTATAAATTCCATTGAGCTTCCAAGACAATCCTAAAAAAAAACAAAAAACTGTAAGATAGCAGAAAATAACAAAAATGATAGTAATCAAGAGACTTGACATAATTAATATTAGTACGGAATTTTATATGAGTTTTATTTGCAAGCTCAGCTGCTGTACACTCATGCATGACTAATCGAGTTTTGTATATCCTAAATTATGCTTTGATATTTATTATATGTTGATGTGGATGAAATTTTACTTACTGTTCAATTTAGACAAGCAAGGAAACACAAGGTGCAACTCCCAAGGTCAGCAGGAAGAAACATGGGTTCCCTCACTCAAGCTTTCTCTCCCCAGATCTCACCAAGTCCATGTTCTTCAGGAAGCATAGAAATTCCAACAAGAAGACGCCCAGGACATTAAGCAGGCTACAGAAACTACACAGGGATAATGAAAGGCATATTGAAATTGGCTTTGCATTTGGCACTAGCCATGAATTTATACTATCTTGAAAAAAGTTGCCTTTTTTATTCCTTGTTCATACATTCTCGTTGCTATAATTAATTATATTTTTTAGAACATCTTGAAGGTTAGGTAAATCTTCTGTAGGATTATGCTAATTCAGACAGGTTATTGCAGTGCAGCTAACTTTCATACTTTTTAGAAAATTGCTAGCTATTTATTTCAAATTGCATTTTGTTTCTTGAACTTTTTTCCAGAAATCGCCACCACGGATTGAATTCAGCTATACAGCAGCTAGCAGCTATGACTCCACAACTGACAGAATCTCTAGATAGAGAAACTAAGGTAAGACTGAGCATGTGAAATTTTGTTTATGCAGAATTACTAAATGTTGTTTCCTATATATTAAAATATACGTTTGAAAAGGTACGGCCATTGTTTTTATATGACTTGTCAACGACTTTATAATCATATTCATGATTAAGAAATGATAGGAAAAAATCTATATCTTTGAAATATCTTTGATCTCATTATAGGTTTCCCGGATGAAGAGAGTGGTTAATTATATCTGTTACCTGGAGACCCACATTCGGTCATTGTGTGTTGATCTAGATATTGCACTAGATTTTGACAGCCTGTTCCTCACTCCACACCTTGATAATATAGATCAGAGTAAGCATTTGCTGGGACACATTGGTATGGCAATATTATAGTTCTCAAAAGGAGTAGATCTGTTGGTTCATCATATTATTTACAATAGATTTACACCAGAGAACTTGTGGCGGTGCCAGTGAAAATGCATGCATAATGCATGAATTTGTGTAGATTTCGGACATTTAAGGTACTTTGTGTATGTCCTAACCAGATTGGTCATTTTGTTGCAAATCTCCTATCACATTATATTTGCTGAAGCTGTGAAGTAAACAGTCTCGGTTCTCAATATTTCATGTTATTTCTAAAAGTAAAAAGTAACATCTACATATTAAATTTTTATTGTCATTGATGTAATGAGGGCCAAAACTAAACAATTTGACCACTATTTTGTGGTTATTTAATTAAATTTTTTTTTTTTTTCGGGAGAATTGTGTTTTATAGAGATGAAATGGTAAAATGCATACAATTTTGATTTTAAGTTGAAATATAACATGCAATTTCACACAAATATGTGCTTGATATGACTTTCAGATCACTCTCCTATGTATATCCCAATGAAAGAGGAATACTCTGTCAGTGCAACCAACTCCCAGGAAGATTTTCAAGAGTCTGATGCCTCACAACTAGTCACTGTAAGTTTTTTATTGACCTGTATAACAAGTGTTCACACACAGATTAAGAGAAAACTAAATGCGTTTATCTGAAATATATTGATGAATTCACAAATTATTTTCAAGGTGTCCTAAAATGTTTCATGATCTATGATGAATTCAAGCCCAACGTATACATGCCAACCAACACTCAACCTTTACATTCTTGTTGGAATTTTTCATGGTGATTGCAGTTTTCCTCTCAGTTGCAGTCTGACAGAGATCGGCACAGTAAGGTCTCCTCTCCAACCATAGATTCCACCACACATGGAGAGGAAGAGTGTCCACAGACTGTCCCCCACCTCTCCATCACTGCCCCACTTCAGCTTGTGCCAGACTGGCAGGAATCTGGCTATGAGGACATCTACAGGGAACAACAAGGTGTGGTGATAGTTTTGTGCCACTTTTACTGAGAAAGTTACCTGGAAGTATATATATTCCTTTATGTTCATCCACTTTTTTATTAGTTCAGTGTTTTCCATTTCTTTATCATGAAAAGCTAAGAATAAATCTTTTGATGTTAAAAAAAAGGTAGATGCCTTCAAAAGTTGCTGGAGACATTGGTGCATTCAGTCCTGGAACCAGAAATGCTGTGAGGAATTGCCAGTGTAACCCAAGACACTTTCTAAGTCAGGTTTACAAAAGAACTATCAATTTGCATACCAATGTGCCAGCATCTGTTTAAGTTTACTACAGCTTCAGATATTTTCCACAGGCATTAGCATTTCTAATTATTGCACAAGTATAGATATTGCTAAAAAATGTTACCATGTTTGTTTTCATTGAAGTACATAGTGACAGTGCATTTCATTTAGTGTCCAAGTTCAGCTTATCATGTGACCCTGGCCAGGAAGAAAAGGTGGACAAGTTGATCAAACAACAAATGACCAACAGGGCAGAACTTGTAGCAGAGGACATTATGTTACCAGCAGTGCAAGTAAGCAAACATCATCTGAGCTACACTAAACTTGTGGCCAGTCAGAATTACACATGTTAGCATTAAAACATAAATATTTCCAATTCATTACAATGCAAAGCAATGGTAAGGGAGAACTAATCATTTGCATACTTGGTCAAGAGTTGTGACAGTGTTGTGAATAGTGTAAAGGGCACTGAAGGAATATAAAAAATTCTTTGAGAAAAAATTGACTAAAACCCATAAAGTATAGGCCAATAAAAATGCCTAACCTTATATTTTGCAAATATCAAGGTTTTTAAATAAATAGATAAATAGGATATTTCAGTCAAACTTGCCTATAATTTATATAAAATTAATCACTTTGACAGAAGTCTCATTTTTGTGTTGGTGTAAGTTTACTTCAGATTATTATTATTTTAAAGGATGTTTCTGATGACTCTGATGATAGCATTCCCTACTATTCTGGCATTGCCCTGTTCCACAACTACAGCAAGACTGCAGGCAAATCGCACAACTCTGAAGAAAACAGCCCTGTAAGTTTTTCTTGTAATTCATGATGCATGTGCCAAAGAATAGCCTCACCTATGGCTAATATAGGGGTTTGTGTTCTGATTTGGATAACTTTATATAGTTTTTGTTTTCTGAAGAATTTTGCACTTTAAAATGAATTTTTTACAAATGCTTCCTTTAACATTTTTCTACAAAATGCATTTTAGATTTTAAATAATTGGCTTGCTATTTTATTAACCTGTTTGCTTGTTATTTTATACTTTTATTTGTTTATTTATTATTATTATATTGACATGTTTTTTTTTTCATTTTGTTTCAAATTGTTTTGCTTTCAACTTGCAAAATAATAACAGAACTTGAGGCAAGATCCATTGCTCTGCAACAAGCATGTCTGTTACAGCCCAAGGCAATAACAAGGGTAATATCGCTACCTACGTAAATCTTCCAAGCAACAGTGCATGGTCCATCTTCCACTAAGAGCAAATTTTTGAAAAGTGCAATATAAATATAGAGGGAAATCCTTACTTTTACAAATATGCATTAAATGGAAGGTATGATTACTGCACATTGGCTAGTTTATTCATTTACTTTTTATTTATTTTAAGTTTTTGTATCTTTTAATATGTAAATTGTTTTATTCAGTTTATGGGGTTGTTAGTTTTTTAATGAATTTTCTGCCATTTTGTCTTGTGAATTATACAAACATTTGATTCAATAATTTTTTTAAATGTAAAACTAGCTTGGTGCTTATAGTGCTGATGAGAAGGCATTCTGCATGCTAAGACTTAAATACCAAGTAGTTTTACATTTTATGTCAATTAAAGAAAGTTTATTCATAGCAATTTTATTTTTAATATGTATTTTATAAAACTGTTTTGAAATAAATTTCTCCAATCTTTGTAGAATGCCAGCACCAGTGATTTGACACAGACATCATCCATGTATGAAGAATCTGAGCTGAAAGACCAAGATTCTTCCTTCTTTGACTTGCTCAGTACTCCCAAGCTGTGTTCCAAATCCCCCTTGACCTCCCCCGAGAGAATACAGTCTCCAATCAGAACACCAAAGACCAAAAGAGAAGCAGAGTGCCATGGCAAGTCTTCTGCCAAGACACCTGTTCAGAGAGGTCATCAACTCACACCTACAAAGAATTCAGGGGTTATTGTAACACCTTCTACACCTGAACAGTCTTTGTTTCAAAAGTTGGTATTCTTTTTTTCCCTATGAGAGTGAATCTTAATAGTGTGCTTGATCAGTAAATGTTTGCTGATGTTGTTGGTAATGTTAATTTAAGATAAATTTTGTATCTTTAAATCAATTTTACTATCAGTGTGCGTTGAATTTAAAAAAAAAAGGGATTTGATGCTAGATTTTAATTATTTCTCTAGGAAACCTGCAAGTGTGCAAAAGAAGGTAAACCGTTTAGTTGCCCAGAAAAAGCAGATTGCCCACAGCTGTTTGAAAAACAGCTTCCTTTTTGGATTGAAAACCCCTCCAAAGAAGGCTTGCCCCCTGAAAAAGACTTGCCTGCACATGGCCAAGCGTTCTCCTGTCATTAGACCCCTCACTATGAGGAAAGTCATGGGAAAGTACAAGACCCGAATGTATAGATTACAGCAAAATATGGAGAAAGGTAAAAAGGAAGAAATGAATGACTGGGAGAGTGCTGAAGGCACTAAGCTGGGTGGTGGTCAACTGTAACCATTGTGTTTGTTGTGATGGTGGGGATTGAGCAGATTTTTTTCTCCTCTGTAATTTTTTTTATATAGAAGTATTTAATAAAGTTATCTCTTTTTCTCTTTTATTTCTCACTTTTGATTGAAATCCACATCTGAATGAAGTTAAAAATGCTAATGGTTTACCAGGTTTTGACACTGTGGGCTGCAATTTTGATTGTAGGTGAAACATGTAATGAAGATTTCAGTAACTCTGTGTTAAAATCACATCAGTTCAGCTCTGAAAAAGAAGACGAGACAGAAAGGAAGACATCTGGTATGAAACAAACTTCTTACACCTTTGCTTGTTAAATTATACTAACATACTGATGATTAGTTAAAATATGTTTGTAAGTTGTAGTTAATCTCCTTTTAACTTTACCAGTATTTTTTACATTTAAAGGGATAATAACTCTTTGTATGAGATCTATATTTTACAATAAAAACATTGTGAATAACTCATAAAAATATAATATATTCTGTTTTACCACAAAAAACGGGAGTTATAGCTATTATTCTGATATCTGAGCTTGTCTTTAGACCACGTGACCTCCATTGATGGCTATACTCTGTTAAAATCTCTTAAGAGATTTTAACAAAAAAACAAACTTTTTAGGAAAAAACCAGGGACTAACTTTGAATGTAAAAATGGAGTCATTGTCCATTGGTAAGTATGGGAAAATTGTTGTTTACTCCAGGAAAATTCATTTTTTGGCCGAAACGAAGAGTTATTATCCCTTTAAGTATGTAGGTTAATTGGCTTTTAACATTTAGTATCAAGAATATGCCTAGCAGTAGTAATATGCAGGTCATTTTTGACTTGCACACATTTACAGGTTAATTACTGTTAATGATTGCTTCCTTTTTTTTCCTTGTTCAGCATTAATATATGTAAGGGACTTGGATTGATTACTATGTAGGATAGATTTGTAATCTTACGACAATATCAAATTAATTCAGTTTCCACTCATTTTGATATATGCTGCCAACAGGTCTCTTTAACCTTAAATGATGCTATGCAGAAAACTACTGGATCAACAGCCTATGAAACTGTTCACACTAACAATGGGGACTATACTTTCCATTATGTGTAATTGGATTTAATGTAGTATATCAATATTTGTGCAGGTTCAGAATCTGCTGAAAAAGATATTGAAGTAGAAGAAAGTGCCTCAGACAGGTAAGGAAATGATCACATATTTTTAAGTATTTGTTTTGGAATGATTTGGGTTTTTGTTGTCTCAGAATAGATTGAGAGTGATGCACTTGGATAAGTCTTAGTTAGCAATGGAGAATGAAGTATAATAAGCAGACCTTAATATCTGTGGATATTTAAGATGGCTTCTATATACCTCTGAGAACGTACTGGCATAACAGGCTGGTGTTTGTATGGACTGTGATAAATGAGGCAAAATAGAATGGAGTGCGATGTACATGTATTTTGTTTGATGTCATGATCAGCTAGTTGCCAGCCCAGCAGTGGTCTGCCTAGTTACAGCCATTATACATTGGTTTAAAACTACTGTAACTGTATGTAGAATCAATAAGGCTTAGCTTTCTTCAAAATCATTTAAAACTTTGCAGTTGCATTTTAGTTTTCTCTCTCTCTCTCTCTCTCTCTCTCTCTCTCTCTCTCTCTCACAACTTCCAATCAGGGGATGGTGAATTTGATTATTTATTAATTAAGGCCATTAATCTGTCATTTTATGTTTGATGTCATGATCAGCTAGTTGCCAGCCCAGCAGTGGTCTGCCTAGTTACAGCCATTATACATTGGTTTAAAACTACTGTAACTGTATGTAGAATCAATAAGGCTTAGCTTTCTTCAAAATCATTTAAAACTTTGCAGTTGCATTTTAGTTTTCTCTCTCTCTCTCTCTCTCTCTCTCTCTCTCTCTCTCTCTCACAACTTCCAATCAGGGGATGGTGAATTTGATTATTTATTAATTAAGGCCATTAATCTGTCATTTTATGTTTTAAAGTGTTTTAATTGCCCTCACATAAGTTCAACAAGAAGTGATCCATGCACTTAAAATGCATTTTATATCCTCCATTGGATGCTTTTAAGTTTATTCTTGAATAAGGATGTTTCTAAGATTGTGATTTTTTTAGTTTAAAACTCTAGCATTTTATAAGTAAGTAGTAATATATTGAAAAAAATTATTAACTGGAAATCCCATTTTGGTTTTTCATAATCAACTTGTATGGATTGATTAATTGTGTGTATGAATTCAAGGCAATCTGCAGTCCAGGAGCCTGTGAGAATTGACCTGAGGAAGACGTCTTGGATGAATGGATTCATGATGTTCAGCAGGATTAATAGGAAGAATTTCATTGAGTAAGAATTGAATATATACTATACTAAACAAGATTTGTACTGAATAATCTCATCTAATGCAATACCACTAGGTGTCACATGAACACCATTCTCTCTCTTTCTCGATCTTTCTAATATGTTTTCACCTAATTGCTGTCTATGCCAAAATAAAGTTCATGAGAAAAGTACACGTCAAATCCATTAGTTATTGAAAGCAATAAGTAGAAAAATTACCTTGATTACATGTTGAAAACATGTCTTTACAAAGTTCATGAGAGGATGAAATAATTAAACCACAGCTACCTGTATCCTGCCTGCCTGCCTAAAACTATTAATCTACAGTAGTGCCAATTTGTATCAAGTATCAGGTAATAATGCATCATTGCAGTTGTATTGAATTTTATGTTGATCTGACTTTCTGCTAATAGTGTTCTTATCCATATTTCAGTAAACACCCAGGTACCCATACCTCTCATATCAGCAAGTTGATGGGAAGTGCCTGGAGAAGTATGACAGCAGAGGAGCAAAAACCCTACAAGTAATGAGATGCCATTTAGCTTTGACTCTGTCATCTGTAGTTATATCAATCTTCTTTGTCTGGACATGCAGTTTCTTTCTTGAAACAGTATGAAGAATGCATAATACAAAACCTAATATTAATCATATTTATTATTATAATTATTATTATTATTTTATTTGTTTTTAGAACCCCTTTCATAAGAATTGTAAATTTCTTCAGTTTAATGTATAAAATGGCTTAATTAAAGTTTGGATGTAATTTTAGCTCTTCAATTTTTGTATCTTAAATGTTCATTACAGGGACAAGGCTAAGGATTACAGTCAGTATTTACTGAATGCCTACAAGTTGCCAGCTAGTTTTAACAAAGACAGCTGTTCTGGGGGAGAAGTGAAGGAATACTTAGGAGAGAATTCTAATGATCCTAAGAATGAAGACCATGGAATAAAACAAGAGAGTGGCTGCCAGGATCCTTAGAAGGTGGAAAAAATACCACTGTGTAGCCATAGCAACATTTTATTTTTTTCCTCTCTCTGCACATGGGCAATTTTATCTGGCTTACCTGGTATTGGTTTTATCTACTAGCATTTTCTTTATTGGTTGAAAAATAAACAGTATCATTATGGATTTAAGTGCCCTATGTCAGTTTAAATGGATCAAAATAGGACCTATTTGTCTATATTGATATTAATATTACAAAGATTTCCTCATTGAAAATGAAAACTTGTACATATTTTTTTAAACAATCTTTAGTTGAAAATTGATATTTTACAGACGTCATTTAAGAAAAGCATGTTTGTTCAGACATGTTAAGTAAGATTTATGTAATAGTACCTGTAAGTTATTGATTTCTTTGATACTTGGGCTATTCAGGCAGAACATATCAAGTCTATGACATAATGTCAAATGACCGATAATATCTTATGTACATGTTGGAAACTTCAAAGGTATACAGAGACAATGGCATATAATGTTTTGCTAGTCATCATTTCACCATGTAGAATATAGTCCATTTAACGTGTTAATAGGGAGTAATCAATATAATAAGCTGTTCATTATGTGCATTTGCATGCACATCAACCTGAACATGTCTGAATAGTGTGGAGGTGTCTGATGAAAAAACCAGTCACCAAGTGTAGTAAATAATTGAATATCATGATCATAATGTTGTAACAAAGTGGTTTGTATTAGTACTTTTGAAGATGTTGAAGGATTTTAGAAGAGACTTAACCATGTGTTTAAGTGGAAATTGCATTATTTGTCCTGCCTGCAAAGAATTTGCCACCCTCCTACTGATCTGCTGTGGTGCCTTGAAACTAAGCTGCTGGTAACCTCTTATGGTTACCATTAATAAGTACAGTCTTGTCTATTGAAATGTATTAGGTGGCTGGTGGTACATACTCAGGAGATGGCCCAGTCTTCTGAAACTGAGGTCTTTTGGATGTTCACCAATTGATGCTTTACAAGTGAGAGCAAAGATACCACTGATAATGGACATACACCAGCATTCAAATTAAACAATGGAAATAGTATTAGAAATGAATTTACTCTTTGCCATTCTCCCTTTCATATTTAACAGTAAATTATAACTTTGGAAAAGACTTAAGTGATTTATGAACCATACAGAATTGTGCTGTGATGATTCTTAATTTGGAATGTTGGCTGTAATTTGCTGAAAGTCCATTTACCCACCAGGTATGTTAGTTCATGTGGGGTTATGAGAAAATTTATTGTAATTTCTTTGCAGTTTATTAAGAGGCTGTTGTTAGAAATGATACATTTTCTGGACATTGTCATTTCCTTGCCTTGAAATTAACCATACACAAATCTGAGAACTGTTACTTGTGGTGCCAAATTGATGTGCTGTATATGACTTCTCCCTTGTAATAAATGTTACTGGGGAGATTTTCATCTCAGACTGTGAAGATGAGAGACTTGTTAGCAATATTGCACTTGTTTTGTTTATTGTCATATTTACCTTTATCACTAAGTGTGACTAAGTCATCAGCATAAGTAATTCACATGTTGAATTTAAACCTACGAGATTTGGAAAAAATTACATTTTTAGCTTTTTTTTTCGCTGTTGCTTTAATGTTTTTGATTTGTTAAAATATATGCAGTTAACACAAAGTATTATAAACGTTTGATATCATGGTGGCCAGATTACTGTTACACGCCATTACCAGTATATCTGACTCATAACATGGAACATTTCCTGTGGAAATTACTAAAGATTTTTAGTATCATAGTACTAAATGTTTGGATGTTTTAAGTTTTTTCTCTGTTCTTATCAGATTTTTAAAATTGTTAATGTTTGTTGTTTAAAAATAAAACGCTAAAGAAATGATGTATTGAAAGACTTCAGTCGTCACTCATGCCCTCACGTACAAGGGAAGTCGGTTATTATTATTATTATTTATTTTATTTATTTACTTTTTTTTTACTTGTTAATAGTTATAGACAACATTTTATCAGTGTAAAAAATCTGGTTAAAGAAAAAAACGGGAACCAGTGTTGTTTTATTCTTTATCATTTAAATGATAAAATTTAGAATTATTAAAGAAGAAATCGCAGTAAGGTTGGAGAGGCAAGAATAGTCGATGCATTGTTATTCCTGGAAAGAAAAAACGACTGTATGGATTCAACATAATGCCGAGGAGAAAGAGGACAGCCACAATATCTTGAAGGAATTGATGATTGAGTGTGAAGAACAATGTGTGGTAGTGGAGAGGACAAGGATCGACAATGCAGTGTCGATAAAGAAATATCTCACTGAAACATGATTTTAAGGATTCAACATATGTCGAGGAGAAAATGGAGAGACGCAATATCTTGAAGAGACTGATGATAGACTGTGGACTACAATGACATCAAGTATTTGATACAAAGGATAGAGTATAGAAATAGAACAGGTGATAACTTAGTGGAATTGATAATAGATGAAACCCATCCTGACAGCTAAATTACAACAGAAAAAAAGAAACAGCTCATAACATACTCAATACGCTTAATTTGCTATTGGTAGTGACTCCATTATTATTACTACGACTATCTTTATCAATCCCATAGTTGCACAAAAAGTTATCAAATGTTGTTATCTTATTAGACATTACATTCGTTTTCTTTCTTTTGCTTTTATCTATTGATTTGCTTGGTTTTGTTGCAAGAATTCCGTCCTAATGGTTTTGTAGACTATTATACACAACGAAGATCTATCCAAGATAAGACCAAATATAATATATATTCAAAGGAAAGAGCGAAAGGCAATCAAACTATCTTGTAAAATTTAAGATCTGTCCCAGAACACAAGCTGACGAAATTTAATGTCCTCTAAGATGCTTTTCTGCATGGGTAATTTTTTCTCGCAATTGCCATATAATCTGAACAGCGTTTTTCACTTTTGAGTCGCTCATTCATCGCGAACATATATAAAGCAAGAATTAAAACAGGTTAATCCAGAGCCCGAGTAAGCGTCGTTTTGATGTGATCAAGGTCAGTGGACCTTAATGACGACCATACTTATACTGCATTAAATTACATCTCATATATATATATATATATATATATATATATATATATATATTCTATAACCACCCATCAAGTGACCAGTTTGTCGGACTATCAACATACATATACAGTGCATACTAAACAATGTATCCTTTCAAAAATATTTATCTTTTATTGAAATCATAACTACAAATCAATGAATGATATTGTTACAAAACTGATGGAGTGTAGGTGCGCTCCTACGTGTGCATTTGTGCATACTCAGGTGTCAGTTATATTGTAGGCTACGTGTATAGCTTTTCTACAGCGTAAAGCCACGACACCATTACGATACGTTTGTGCTTTTTGACATAGTCTGCGTATTTCCTTATTATTGTTCTAAATTTTGACTCAGACCTAATAAATGTCAGTTGTCTTGATTTTAAATTCAAAGCCTCCCTCGAGGCGTACCCCCAGGTGTACGTGCCAAAATGCAAACTCTTCGAGTTACTCGTTATGAATTTGATGTGATCTCCGATCATCTTGTCACGCTTTCCTTGAACAAATCTAATTACTATTTCGCCACATTAATCTCTAACACATAAGAAAGAATCCATGTATGTAACAGAACGGTTATTGCTTCACATACCGTAATACAGACTGATCCCACTCCAAAAATTACAAATAATAATAATAATAATAAGCAATCAATCAAAATAAAGATCAGACAGTGCCAAACATATTTGGCGAGTTTCAGCAAAGCACCAATACTATCTTTCGGCTCTAAATCATGAACACGTACTAGTTGTTTACAGATGAAGTATATCTACTCTTGTCATGTGAACTATATGATTATTATTTCCAATCCACTTAGAGCATTTGACCGAGTCTGACAGTCTTTGCGAGGTTTGCAAGACCTCTGTTGACAGAACTGCCCATCGGAATTACCCTGGTCGACATGTCCTGTCCATTGAGAATCTATGCTTAGAATGTTATGGAAACGGTACATAGTTCATGCTCTAGTGTCTATGTCACAAAAGTAGGCCTACTTTATCAAAATCGTCAAAGCTTTCGGCGAAACATAAAATGGTGACACACATTTTTCTTCTTGGCCTAAAAAGTCCGATTTTCTGTTTTGTTGAATGGCAGAGAATATCTCAAACCAACACCAACATAGACAAAAATGAATATGATTTACTTTCATATTTAAAAATGAAGAGTAAGATATTCCCTGCAGTGATTATAATGGTAACCATTCTCCTGTACATACACATTTATGCATATCACGTTGCACGTCCAAATGTCATTGCTAGGGTCACCCAATGGCCATTCAAATGTGACTTTGGAAAACAACGGTTGATGACGCCTGGGATGTCTGAACGCAAGCGTCTGCCTGCATCTTGCGAGAAATCGTTCGGTTATCAATTTCCGTCAAGTTGCCGGGTTCTGATGTACTGGGGTAGATTTTGTTATTGAAAAGACTGCGGTTGTGATACGATCGTTGTCTTTGAGAAACTCCTCTCCCCGGCCCTTCTTGTAATGCTAAATTACTGGCGTTCTGAGGATAAAGAATGACGTGGAACTGAAAGGTAGAAATGAGTATCACTTAAAATAAATGCCATACATGTATGTTTAAATTATCTATAGACATATTTGTAATTTAAGAAAGCTTTAACTAATTGCTTAGTATAGTTCGAATACAAGACAGTTCGCTTGAGACACAAAGGTCAGAACAATTACTTTAGCAGTTCAACATCCATAGACAACAATTTATGAGATTCTTAACGATAATCGTTTCACACGTAGGCCTACACGTAACACGTGTGCATTTTTCTTTATATACATGTGAATTTTCCAATGAGATTTTCGAGGAAGTGTTGAAGGGCTTACTGTATGAAAATCAATAGATATACAATAGCATTTAGTAGAAATATTTATAAATGTGCATCCTTAGGAAATGTGAACCGAGACAGCTCCAAAGCTGTTTGCTACAACTAGAGCAAAAATGAAAAAAAATATCTTGCACGAACATATCAGAATTTTTTAATGGATAAAACGAGAAAAAACTGCCTCAAACGCCCTGCCGTTGCACTTGACAGCATCAGTTTTACAGGGTAATAAAAACAACACGCAACTTTTGGATTTGACGCGTCTGTGCACTGGATCATAAAAGAAGACAAATCGCGCAGTCCTTTTATTTAAAATTCTATTAGATATTAATTTTCTGTTGATTCTCAATACAAGACTTATCAGTATGACAACAGTATAACGCCCTTCAGGTTGCAATACAATTAAGGCTTCGTTCACATGCAATGTCTATTTTCTAATTTCTATTTTCTATTTGCTCTATCTTATGATCACGTATCTATAGTAACTTATACATGTAGTAACTGGCTCGCGCTGCCAGTAATTACGCCGCGGGATATTCAGGCCACAGACCGTGATCATAAGACATACCGCAAATAGAAAATAGAATTTAGAAAATAGACATTGCATGTGAACGAAGCCTAATAATACCATTGTAAAAGGCGATAATTCCTGCCATTTTTCAAATGCAGGAATTGCCGGTAATGACGACAGTGCTATGCTTGGCTAGGCCCTGTGTTATCTAACGCCTGCTTCTGTGTAGCACAAGCTTTTTGAAATTTTTATGGAAATAAATTCTATCTGTATTGCATTCAAGGGACCAAAAGAAGAGAGAAATATTGTTCTTTTTTACTTTGATTACCTTGGATTTCATGATTATGATTTCCATTTATCACGGGAAATCAGAGACCAGAAAAAACGTCTACCTAAAATGCCATAATCCTAACTAAGATGTATGCTTTGATTACGTTATGTGGGTTGCGTTACTACCTACGAACTTGTGAACACCATATACATGTACCTTTAAACATTACACTATGATATCAGTGTGTGTGTGTGTGTGTGTGTGTGTGTGTGTTGGACCTGCTTTAACACGAAATCTTCCTGTTAGTTAATTTCTTTCAATGACAAAAGTAGTTGTACTTTTATATGAAAAATTCATCCCTTTGCCTTGAAACAACACAGGTCATAAGAGAAATCTACTGTAATGTCCTGTAAGCTTTTTCACACGAAAGTAACTTGATTTGTGCTGGCGTTTTCGAAGATCCCAATAGCAGGTGGAAAACATGTTATGTACATCACGAGCTAAGACTAGTGTTACAGCTTTTAAACAAAGAAACCAAAGCGTGTTATGTTTGACGACGTCAACCCATTCATGGCTCTTCCAATGCATAACATAATGCACTCCCGGGAAATTACCTTTGGAACATAAATGAGGCACATCATGCTGGTGACTGAGACTTGCAGGTAAAGAATCAACATAAGGTACTGTACATCTGGTCCCTCCTGCATTGCTATAAACTGACTGAAAACACAATGGAGAACATATTACACAAAAAAGTCACTTCCATTTGAAGGATAAAAGTTATCCCAACTTCGCGTGCTAATGGTAAATAACATAAGTTTCGCCCATGGGTCTATATACAGAGAAATGAGGTCAGGGACTTCATGACAGAAACATTTCTTTATTCCTCCTTCTATCATATTGTGTATCCCAGTGGTACAATATGCATTCATTCCCCCAATTATCATTTCTGTATGCAATATGTAAGGTCCTTCTCGCTACAGTAATCAAATGATATTCTACAGTTATCTCCAGGCTACTTGTTAATGGACATTAATTAACACTTTGCTTAATAATGTTTATCCAATGAGTTTCTGTCTCATTGTTCATTGACGTATGGGTATCAAATAAATATGTCGCCTCTAATACTGGTCATTTATCACAGAAATGTATAAATTGGTGAAAAACGACTTACTGTATTATATAAAGCGAAAGGCCTAATAACCCAGTATTGTAAATTGACCAAGATATGTGTTTGCTCTCGTTGTAATAACTTGGCGCCTTTCTCACCACGAATGAGAGGTATACTCCCCAGAGCAGAAAACCAAGCTTACCTGAAATAAGACGTGTTTTCAAATATTGATTATGTGGAGAATATATATACGGTCCATAGTTTTGTATTTTCATTAGCTGTTTAATTAAATAAGACAAAATGCTTTTATTAAATGAAAATATGCTTTATATTGATTGTCATGGTGCATAAGGATTATCACCACTTTTTTAAAGGAGAGTCGTTTTTCGCAGATTTCAAAGCCAAAAAATAAGAATAAGATTTCCCATCATTTAAGTAATCAAGTATAAGATATAAATCAGGGAGCTAAAAAAACGTTTCTAATTTCAAAATTCAATAACAAAAATTTTTTTGCAATGAAATTTGGGATATTGTAGGTACCACAAAAATGAATAAAATTTTAAGTCAATGTGTCAAAAGTGCACGACACTGGCACCTGTCGGAAGTCACATAGGCCGGCATGGAATTTCTTGACATAAGATTTCAATTTTTCCTGTGTGCCAAAACCAAGACAGATAGATTCAAGAAATTTTCAGAATTTTTTAGACACATCGTTTTCTAAAATACCTCTAATTTCATTGCAATATCTTCAAACCTATAGAAGTTAGTGAACTTAACAATTGTTTTTTTTTTCTTTGAGCCACCCGATATTGGATCCTTCATGTAAATTCATGATACTCAAATACTCACATGACTCTGCGCCATGCTGCCACCAACCCGCTAAACATGTACTGAATTTTAGCCCAGAGGAGGTGGTCAGCGGAATAAGACGATTCTGTTCGGCCACCGTCCAAGCAGTCAGGTAAATAAGACTGACCGCTACTATTGGGATTAGTCGAGGTAACAATAATTTATCGGTAAGTTTTATCTTCTTAAATTTGGAAACTTCAAATATAGCTGCAATCCTAAAATCAAAAATCGAAAGACGTAATTCTACAATAAGCATAAATACCTTTGAAATGAGTCAGGCCGCATTCACAATAGCGGACTAACTAGTCTGCGGATCAAATACTTGAATGCTTGTTGCGTAATCCCAGAGGGGAATGTATTCAGTGTCTATCAGAGGAGTAAACGGCAGGCATTTAAGTGGGTCGCTACATTTGATCCTGGGACTAGTTAGTCCGCTGTTGTGAATGCAGCCTTTAACTATTTATCTTAAATGGCACATCGTTTACTATTTCCATCTATATTTAATATACACAAAAATATATATACCCGCCACACCCTTCTAATAATATTGGAAGCGGGGAACCTTACAACCCGCTTTAGGAAGTCATTAAACACTGTAAATATTCCCCAAGTATCACAGACTGTTAACCAAGATAAACATGTGCATGTACAGTGATTGCTAGACCTTAAGTTGTTCATGTGATTACCTGTAGGTTTTTAAAAGTAAAGCTCCATACGTTAACGCAAATCCCAGGTATCGCAACCATGGCCTTATGATACATGAAATATTCGTGGCCTTGGGGTATTCCACAAATACCTGAAATGATAAAAAAAGCAATATGTACATTACCTTTGGTTGATTTATCAGTGTAAACACAGCCTTTTTCAAAATTAATTTGGGCGAATACCTGATGCAAGATTAATGACATCTTTTACGTAACAGCAAACACCAATGGAATTATGCTCGTTTGAAAATCACATGCATCCAAATCACATCACATCCAACAGAAAAATACTTCATTTAAATGTAATGCTTTATTTAAAGAAATGAAAATGAAATGAAAACTATCCACAGTTTGTTTGTTTTTTAATGATAGTGTACATGTAGCATCTCAAAGCTACATGACAACGCATGTTCTTTTGAGTTTTCAACAATGACGTTTTCTCTATTCAGCCATTAGATAACCAGTGGCATCTAAGAGAGAATACCAACCTCTGAAACCATGAGCAGCGAACCAATAGACATTATGTGCAAAAACACCGGACTCGCTGCCTTGATCACCTGTAAAAAGGTAAGCTCATCTTACAACCAGTACACGAAAATAACTTTAAATTATGAAACAGGACTCTAACAAATCAGTTTTACTGCTGATTACACGCGAAGATTATTGTATGTCACATATGAAATACAAATTCATGCGTCCAAATACGTGAACAATAAGCCCGTTTTGGGTTGCACGTTTTCATTTTATTCTCAGATGAATCTTATTTCATTTCTTGTTTGTTCTAAATGCAATTTGGTAGGCTCCTAAAATACAAATCATAAAGCCTTGAATACATTTGCCACGCGATGTCCGCAAGGTGCTCGTATTCTGCTCGTAAACTCCTTTTCGTGTGGCGTCTGTGCGGAAGCAGGCAGTGGCTGTGCAAAATCGTAAAGTTAAAGACAGTCTCAGTGGGTTAGATTAATGTATAGAAGCAGGTTCTATGTAAAACTTTGATCAGATNATCGTACGGATTTACGGCCTCTGTAGCCCCTACAATTTTGTCAAGCTAAAACTTTTGACGAATTTTGAAAATCATAAGCCCGTGGACCGTAGCATTATTGTAGGAGGCACAACAAACAATAATAAAGATGTTTAAAATATAGAGTAATTTACTTGCATAAATTTTAAGTTTTGCATTTTCTTACTCTAGCCACATTGATGCTTAAATCAGAGGGGGGCTGTACCGATAACGTATCGGATCTTCAAGGAAGCCGCACGGAAGATGTCCGGCAACACCCGAGAGGCCGAAAGAGCTCCGTGCGATCATTTTGCATCCGACAACCGATTTTTCCCTACGTGACCTCAAGGTCATGTCAGAGAAATGGCACGGCACCCGCACGTAATGTAAACGTACCCGCCGTAGCCCGTAGCTACTTACGATGCCAAAATATCATATGGAAAATTGTATACGCTTTCATCGTTCGACACCCGTGGCAAATATAAGCTAGGCTTTAGCCTGTAATAACACTTTGATGTACGCCTTTAGCAAGGTGACTAGTTTTACGTAATACCCAAATAAATGCCACCATAATTCGCCGCCTACCTGTTTTCAGTAGCCTGTACACATTTATAAGCACTAGAAATTGAGAAAGTGATTGGATGTGTTTTGTAATGTATGGTTACAAATTGCGTTGCCTGTGTTGTATAATTTTGTCTAATAAAATGTTTATTGCTGCATATTACATCGTTAGTCCTTTGCGCTACAGTAACTCCATCTTTGCTGTATCAATTTACCTTTTCGTTTCTGTACCGCCAAATGATAACAGCCAAAGTTATAATGCCAGCTAACATGAGGCAACCAATGATAAGTATACACGTTCTTGCGGCCATGTTTAAAGCGTACATACAAGGCGTGGCATCTGTGCACGTGTCGCACCCCTCGGGACACGAAAGGCATTTGTATTCGTCAGGGTATTCTTCCGGGGCTTGGTTTTGAAAGTAGTTTTCAAGCTCAACTCCGCTGAAGGACTTTTTCGGGGCATCAACGACGGGAAAATAAAAGCCTTTCTTGCACAAGCATTCATACGCCCCTCTTCTAAGCCCCATACCGGTAATTGCAACGCACTGGAACAAAATACAGCATTTAAAACAAGTCAAATATCTTTTTAGAATTGACTAGAGTTTGTTTAAAAGATAAATTTTTAGATCAAACTATAATAATGGAAACGTAATTGATAATTGACATTGGTTAATTCGTAATAATTATATTGTGTAAGGTAGGGAAAAGAACGTCAAATTTTAAACATCTATGCATTTAAAAGACCATTTTTATGAAAAATCGACCCACGGGAAAGGTGCTTTTTTAATAAATATTTCATACCTTATAAAGAAATAAACATTTCGACGCAAATATTATACTCCACTATAACTGTGGCTTTTTAGACTGGTGTAAATGGTGCGTTCTTTCCGTTATTTAAAGCAGGTCTCAAAACAAGAGAGTTTAGGAGAAATAAACTCGATTCTACATTTTACATATTCTGCAGCAGACATTATGGAATACAACAGTAAATAAATTGACAGTGGCAGATTTGAAAGTGCTTGAGTGACACGGGGACATTTCCTATAGTAAAATTGCCACCACACCCGCAACTCCATATCATCCACCTTTCCCAAACGGGAAGCAAAGCATTTGTTGAGACCAAAAGAAGAATATCTGACATGCTTCAGTATGTACATGTTTTGCAAAAAAAAAAAAAAAAAAAAAAAAAAAAAAAAAAAAAAAAACACCCTTTATTCGATCTCCATGATAGCTGACCGATGGCACTATTCTGGTACTTTAAAGCTTATTAGATCTACTTAATGTAGGTACATTTCTAACGTGAAACAGTCGGTGGATACATTTTCAGTTATGGGTCTGAATACGGCAGAACTGATTAAACGCCTCAGATGATGCATGGCTTTTTGACCAGCGACATCCATTAGGTAACCCATGATCATTAACACCGATAAATACAACATTGGCCAAAAAGGTTGTCCCACCCCTAATTCCATGTACTTTTACTTACAAATGATCGCCTCACAAGTGTAAATTGTCTTAAACAATGCTTTTTATTCCAGATAACATATCTAACATGATTAATGTTTAAGAAAATCCAAAATAGTGCACGAGGTGATCAGTTGTAAATAAAAGCACACGGAATTAGCGGTGGAACAACCCTTTTTGACCTGTTGTATATGCCTATAGCCAATAGTTCAAAAACTGCAAGGAAACCTATTAAGAATAGTTGAAACACTGTCAGAAATCCTTTAATCAATGATTGGAGACTGCCGGAAAAAGAAAGAGTTGAAGCTTTCACTGACAGACATGAATCCTGGTACCCAGGTGTGATGATAAGACATAGAGCTAACGAAGGTAATATAGTGACTTGAAGAAAATTATTAGATGGTGTAATGCAGCAGATTTTCAAAGGTGTACAGGTGCCATGCATACGCTGTTAATCGTGTTTTATATATCTCAAGGAGGAGAAACCGCGTTTAAAATGAATAGCACCCCGGAAGTGAAGACTTCCGTCAAGAGGAGGCGTAATGGAATATGCACGATTAAATCATCTGATTATGAAAAGTTATAAAACGTCACGTTATCAGTATCATTTAATTGCATCTAGTTAAAATGGCACATAAACGAGATTATAACTGCAGGTGTCACGAATGTTTTTATATATAATTTCGTGACACTTGTTTCAAATAATATAGTTGGAAAATTACTCTTAGGGTGCATTCCCAGAGATTTAGATCGATCCAGAGATTAAGATTCAGATCGACCTAACTCCCTGGGGGTTAACGCTAAATTGCAGTCAGCCGAGCGCGCACCATAGTTAATTACCCTTTTACAGTAATCTAGTGAGACTCCCCACAGGGATAGATCGATCTAAAATCTATGGGAATGGGGTCTTAGACAATGAAAAGGTTCAATATCTACACTATTGTTCTCATCAACACATGACGTGAATGTCATTCCTTTAGTTGTTTAGATCACTTTTTCTGGACGCGGATCCAAACTGAATCTGAGTCGTGTCATCTTTCTTCAATAAATAAGTACGTTGAATACAATCAGTTTAAAGTTCAGTGTTATACTTATTATTGTGAACTGTCTCACCCTCGTAATGGTTATGTTAACTCATTAAATGGGACAAAAAAGATACAAACGGCGACTCAAGAAGTAATTGGACAAGGAGACATGGCCACTTACCATAATGTTTACTTTTTCTATCAGCTCGCCTCATATAGCGTACACTGGTATAGTCATGACGGGAGAGTAATGTGTTTCATAATCAAGACATTAACTCACAGTTTGATGGTTAATACAGGAGAGTAATGTATTTCATAAGCATGTACTTGGAAGTACATAAACATAGTTCATTAATTTGCCAACATGTTTTTAAATTAGTGAGTGTGAAGCATGACAGTCACATCCGGGAATCGATATAATTAATTAATAAGGTGTGTGTGTGTGTGCGCGAGCGCACACTGTGCCATGCTTCAAGCCGACACTATTTGTCACCTTCGTGTCATTGCGGCACTATTTAACTAATTACAGCAAAATGGCCATTAAAGGTAATACAATGCATCCTCCGCTGTCAAAGTATCTTTAAACTATACACTGCAGTACACAGTAAAGCACCGAGGAATCAATCACACAAGCAAACAATAACACATGCTCTCTCTCTTGTCAAACGTGTCGGAAGATTCTGCTAATGGTTCTGAAAATTTGCCTCGAGTCCGTTTTAAGATAAACATAATTTCAACTGACGGCTTAACCACAAACTGTGTAATTTCCTTCATTGAGCATATAATTTCGCAATTTGGGCAGTCAAGTCAAAATATGATACCTACCACTGTGGTTTTGTGGCAACGATGTGTATTACGAAACCACGAAGAATGGTTCTTCTCTTCCTCGTTGTCACATTGGTTTATATCTATGTAAGTCAGCTCTATGTCTATGGTGGTAACACCCCTACAACGAATAAAAGAAAAATAGAAAGAGAAATAGAGATGTACATTGCTGTATTTGGTTAACTGCCTATCACTATCACTTTTCCTTTAACAAAATGCCCTTCACTATCACTATTCCTTTAACAAAATGGTGTACCCCACCCCCATATTTCTAAAAGAGAAAAGAGGTGCTCTTAGGCCTTTAGGGGTCCGTTTCATGCATTCAATTTATTAAAATATTCAGGGGCGTAAAATGCCTGATTGACTTTTTGATCCCCTCTTCTTTTTTCATTAGAGCACAATATGATATTGTACTGATTTTATTTAATCTATGTATTTCTGTTTATCTTCCTTTTGAAAGTTTCAGTATTTGTTAACAGCAATAGTCATTTCGTAGAGATAAGGAGGCAAAGAAGTTGAGGAAGTAGTAAGCTTCTAATGGTTTAAGTGATACCTACAAGAATGTTAGTCCGTTTGATGCGTTCTTATGGAAGAAAGGTGCAGAAAATGTCACCATCCAAATGTCCCCTCCGCCACAATCAAAGTACGGCATGGTCCAGTGCCCATTGGACAACTCGGTCAGAGGATGGTCAACTGATTTATTGGCGGCGTGGCTATGGTTATTTCTTTAATTATTAACAGAAAGCATATTGTAAAACAATATTTTATGTATAATCTGATAGGTAGTTGAGCCACTGGATAGATATTTGAAAAGAGAAAAGGGCAGATCAAGATGAAAGACGGATAGGGAATGAATGAAAGGGAAATGGACGGAGAGATTAAAGTATGGATGGATGGAAAGATGAATCATGTTAATTATAATGCTTTTACATGCAGGCATGTTCATATATCAGATCTCAGCACACAACTTATATCGTTTGGTTGACTAATGCTTTTAGGATATTAAACGTCAAGCAAAACTGTGCATTCGAGCGGGAAATTGTATATTGTCCTACTGATTAACGTTATTTCTCTCTTGACATTTTATCCGAAACTGCTCATGCCAATTTCCAAGAAGACATCTAGTGTAAAGGGTGACTTTAAATCCCTTTGACAGCTAGGCTACTCCATTAGACAAAGGAAGGATAGGGGTGTAAAATGAAGTGGAAATATCTTTAAAAAAATAAATAATGGGGCACAAGGCTAAGAAGCTACAAAATGCAAAACCCCCAGTACTAGAGCGGTTATTAATGATAATGATCGATGATATTGTCCAAGCCAGGCTTTTAAAATGTATTATANCGTTCGTCCCCTTTTGTCGCTCTCCTCTTCAGACTTGACGCGCGTCTGAGCCATGTTTGCTGTTTTGGCGCCAAATAGTAACATCCGGGTCTCAGCCGTAGTACTTCATTCATAGTAAACCGCGAGACTTAGCGAGAAATTGCGCGTTCTGAAGCCGTACTGTGAGGCTGTAGCTGAGTATTTAAGACGAGTCGTCTTTTATTATTTAATGGAACTTAAAAACGGTATTAGGTAGCTTCATTTTCTGAACGGTTTTGGATAGGATATACCTTGGTCATTATGGGGAAATTGGTGAGATTTCCAGGAAAATTCATTTTAGTGCTATTTTAAGGGTTTAACGCGCTGAGACTGTCTTTAATGTGTCGTTTTGTAATAAATACTGTTGGAAACATCATTCGCTGATAATATCTCATCTGATCTAGGTATATTTGATTTGATCACATTTTTAACTGCTTTTCCTTCCTCATAACAATTTACATTAAACTGAAACCGAAAGACTACAGAAGAGTACTTACCGCAAACTCGATGTGTGAGTAACAACGGTCATATTAGACCAATCTACGCTCTTGATGTTGATGTACCACTCTGTTGAAGGTAGCAGGTAGTTATAATTCAACGAAAGATCAAACGCTTCCACTGCCCCATTTTTCCGAAATGCGTACGGGCAGAAGGTATGGTATCCCGGATAAGTATCAGGTTCCCAAGCAATTGCAGAACCGAAAATCAAATCATTAGCTTCCACGTTGGTTTGAACAAGTGAAAAAAGAAACTGATCATTATGTATGATGTTTGATTCAGTTATGTTACCTTCTTCTGCCGCATGTATAAGTTTTGTCAGAAGATTTGCTGTTCTGACGGCCACCAAGGCGTAGTCCTTCCATGCGTTTTGGTCGAATTCGACCGGAAGAGATTCCTGGGTTCCGGTAGAGCAATTGTTCTTGGACACGCTTTCGATGTATTTTAAGGCCAATGTGGCATTAGAATCTGAAGACAAAACAACTAACTTTATGAATAATATATGATCGGTGCAAACGCCATATGATCTGAATTTTTACACTAAACTTTTTCCAATGGTATTACACGGTTGAATTTTTACTCAAAATCATCGCATGCCATGTCAATGATATATTGCGCTCTATACACAAACAGAACATGAATATAATTAATGTCTTCATGAATACGTGTCTTGGAAACCAAAAAAAAAAAAAAAAAAAAAATTACATGGTCATTTTAGATTTTGACAGTTTCATTCGATTTTTCATTTTATTGAAAATAAGGTAGTCAGGGGGAAAGAATCGCAAAACATTTACTTATATTTTGCTTGGCATGAGATTTGAATGAAAACGCGTTTGCTTGGTGATACTTTGTCTTGCATGGTAAGTCTTACAGATAATGTAAGTTCAAAAGGCATCAAAGGTAATCATGTCATCGACTTTTTTGTGGCAAACGATGAAATTGATAACCACAAACATCCCAGGTTCTTGAAAAGAAATTCATATTTTCACAATTCATTTTTCAACAAAATATGGACACAGCACCTCTTGATTTGCTATCGGCTATATTGATAAAAATATATACCGCTTCAATATATTATTTTCAAAAATCAAATACGAGTTTATTTACACGGATTAAGAAAGCCTGGGATTCTATTCCGAAGAACAATTGACAGGTTCTTTGAAGAGGGAGCAGAGGAAATTAGAGATCAATAATCTGGTTTCTGTGTCAATAGATGGCTTAAACAGTTATTTTTCTGAGAATAGACATCGAAGTGCCACTCTATGACTGAACTCCCATTAGGAGGCGTGCATGGCAAAAAATTGATCCATGCGTGCACCAGTTTTACAATTTATACAGCCGGGCTGGCGACTGGACTGTTTTACTAAATGATCTTATAATTAACCTTTTTTTTTTGTACAACAAGTCGGAACCTTCTTGTTTTCTCTTAGGATATTTCCATTAAGCAATGAATCATTGTGAGGATACATGGTTTCACCAAAGAAAAGTTGGGAAAAGAGTCCAAGGGACATTTTTAATCACACGTGTCTAATAAGCCTACTTTCCTCCCTGGATCCGTCTTCATAGTTTGGTTTTCACCAATTATAATTTATTTTAAATATATCAATTTATGTAATTGAATATTCTTCTTTTCCCGTTAAGGGTTATGTGTGTTGTCCGTGTCACGTAACACTTGTGTCACACAGCGATGTGTGGGAAAGAGAACTTATGATGTGTATCATGGGAAGACATACAGCTTTTTTGGTTTATTTCATCAAGGAATTAGGGAACGTAACCTAGTCTTATTTTAGAAGAATCAAATGAGTTTAATTTATAAATTTTCATTACAATAATGAGAAATTCGTTTATTTGCTGTGCTGAATGGGTGGAACGAGCTAAGGTGCCACATATTTGTCAATTCGTAATTAAAATTCCCGAGGTAGACTGAAGACGATTTATATTTTTTTTTCACTTTAGGAGAATGTATGGTTCTTATACAATCTTTATAAATGATAATGTTCATCTTTCTTAAGATTCAGTTTCATTTGTGTTTCTTATTACTGGAAATATATTTATGCGAAATAATTCGACTTATTTGACTTTTCTCCATTTCGCGCATTAAATAAGAAGCACGTGGTATGGTCTTTAATTTGTGACACACTAATGACCATATCGATTCAATAGTCAAGCCAATCTAATATGATTCCAGCTGTGTACAGTAGTTACTCATACAATGGGCTTTGAGCTTTTTTTTTTTTTCTTAATCGTGGTGGCCAAATAAAAACTGTACCGGTATTTTCAATATGAGTTAAGGCTGCTCTGCTGGGACTTACTGTAAATATATAGATTTTGGTCAACACAACAACTGCGCTAGTTTCTTGGCTGTTCAAGCCAAGATAAGTTCAGTAGTTGCATTACAGAGATATACTTACTGTTAGTGAAATGTTAGAACAAACGGGTTAAAAAGAGCAACGCCAGGCTAACAAACATGTATTTACTAGAGCACCAAATGTCCTCCTAATATATAGCTATCCATCTTAACCTACTGCGGTTTTGATGAAGCTTAAAGCTTTAAATGCCCTTCATCATAACTAACCGTTTGATGCAATTGTTGCATTTAAAGCAATCTGACACGCAGTACTATTGTTATTGATGAGAAAGTGTGCCGAAGCACCATTCTAATACATCACTTAAAAATCAAGTTTGATTGTGTATTTTATGTTAAAATCCCAAACGACAGGACAATTTAATCCTTCCCGACACAACTAAGGTCTTATTTTTACCCTAACCAGATTGTCATATCCCCAAAGGACGACAAAAAATGTGAGTTTGTGTGATTCAGTGAGCCGTGCGATGCTAGAATGGGTTTAATTAGTTTTTCTGCTGACATTTTTTGGTTTCAAGATTAAAGAAATTTTAGATCGAAATTGTGTCAAAATACACCATAGACCTATGATATAGGCCTACAGTATCTATACAAGTCCAATATGATGAGAAACGCTGTTATTAATTCACCACTATCTCTTTTCTTTATCCCTTCTATATGCCTGTCAGTAGCGTAAGCCTCGTTGAGACCATGCAGGTACAGTGGCAGTTTTAAGAGGCAACAATCTGAGGCTCATAAAAGCATATTTCATACAATTCAAACTATTCCAAAGTTTGCCATTCATTTCAAAACATTCCGGCGAAGATACCCCTCCGAGCTCCCTAAAACGCCAGTAGCTCTGCACTGGGGTCCACTGTGGGATATGTTATGTATTTGATAATACACCATGGCGTGCCATTCTTTGAAAAATAAATAAATAAATAAAACAGAGAATGAATACGGGAAATAATGCTCGAGTACCCTGGCAAGCAAGCGAAATACTGCCCTTTCCCCGTATTGAAGACATGTTCGAGATAAGACCACATTCCCGACAAAAGTCAAGACTGTATACAGTATAAGGGATCGTAATTAAAGACGAATTTAGCTGGATAGGCGACTTCGCCCTAATGGACTTTTTGCAGTTTTAGCAATAAAAATTTTAGGTTTATCCTTTTTCGTTTTGTATTTTGTACAAATGTATTATCTCTATTCGCCGCTTTCACAGACGTATGGCTTAAACTAATGCAATGCCAAATATGTGAAACACAATAAAAGAGATACTTAAAAGTAGACATATCTTACCTGTATTTGCACCCGTACAAGCAAAATAGCTTATAAAGAAGACCACGGCTTTTTGCCAGTTACGCACATTGTTTCCAGACATGTTTGGAGACGTTAGGCTGAGTAATTACCCCACATAACTACCACACCACCTGTATATTTTCACTGCCAGTTCTTTCACACATACGTTGTAAGTAGCGCGCACACGCAGTGCCTGATATAGCAATCGATTAGATAGCAGTTTTCTTTTTGTTTCGAAAGGCTATTCCATTTTAGCTTAAGGGAGGGGATGTTTTGGATTGAATTTGGACTTCCTAAGTGCACCATTCCCTCTATTATCTATTTTACAATCTCACTGCAGTCGGGTATTTATTATTATAATACCCTTTAAAGGATAAAACAAATATGTACAGATACATGTATCAGACGCCCACATTAGTTTTGATGATCTTTATAAACGTAAGCGCCTCCTCCCCATTAAAACCCCACTCATTATTTGACAAACTTGGTATTGATAAATGCTGCTCAATGTGAATAGGATTCACAAACATGTTGATATGATAAATTACTAATAAGAATGTATTTCCCAAAGGTTGGCGCGACGTATTCAAAGCGTAGAAAGCGTGCAAAAATGAGTGAATTAATAAATAGAGGGCCATTCCATAGGCCTTTTACAAAAATGTTTATTGTCCACCATCAAAGAGTCTGTAGCCCCACATCTTTCTTGTGTTATGGTATATGAATTTGGAAATAAGATAGAAGCTTCATCGATCGTTTGTTTCTGAAACCTTATACTGGTACATATAAATAAATTTAGGTCAATCTTAGTCGTAGCAAGAAGCATCCACAAGTGGGCAAGACTGTCAGCAAGATTTTGAAACTCGGGGTAATTATTTTGCCCCCCACGTTGAAAGTAACCATATGTTTGGTGTGATAGCAAAGCGCACATATGATATGATATGACAAATAACACAATGGACACTGACATGAGAATAGATGTGATAGAGCAACCTCAAGGTCTTAACGCATTTCCAGCTAGCTCCCTGTGACAGCGATTGTTTAACCTTCATATAATATCTCTCATGATCATGTTAGCTAGCTTCTCTCCTCTAAATCTCTGGTATCTTAGGCCCATTATGACTGCATTTACACGAAAACAATTCAGTTATTGCCCTAGTTTTAGTGACAAATTGCTAAAATTTAATCGCTAAAGAACGAGGGCAAACGAGAACAAGTAAATGTCGTGAGGTGGCAATGTGGATAAATATGCCAGCATTCTCGCAAGTAGTTTTAAATAATATTCATGGCTGAAGATCTGTTTTAGTTGACTAACAAAGTGACTTATTCTAAAACCCAGTTTGCATTCTTTTCCACTTAACATAACCTAACAGTCATAACATGACATTCCAATCGTATGTCACATTGAGTACAAACAAAACAAAGCTATATGGAACAAAACCCCTGAGAAAGAGATTCATTAAAAAACCCTGACGTTCCTTCCTTCATTTCATTGTTCCTTACTAAGTGATTACCTGTTTTGTACACTTCTACCGTATGCTCACGGTTATATCTTTTAATTAAACAAAATATCGATATCGATTCCCCATAATACAGTAGCTTTATAGAAGAAAGTCCTTATTTGATAAAGACACGTTCGTAAGATTAACTGTCGCCTTTTATACCTAATTATATCTGTTTTCTTGTAAATCTTTCTAAAAAAATGGTCCAGGTAAAAGTGCTAGTCAGCAGAATTTGAAGTACCCGGGTGGCTGGAAGAAAAACTAAGAAAATGTGAACACTCTCTCCTACTTTCGTAAGTTGGGATCGCTACCCTATCAGTTTCTACTGTGTGTGTTTATCATTGTGTTTCAATGAAGAGTACAGATCAATCCATTCTGCAGGACTTGGTGTAGTGGTTCGCAGCCAAAGTTGCTGAATTTGTATACATTAATTGTCTATGTGAGGTTTTCCATTTTTAACAGCAATCAGTAATCGTGTGTAACGATTTACATTTGCTTCACTGCATTTGTTTCACTGTGGGTGTTCCTCATTGCACGTTTCATGGAACAGGAACAGATAATTCATTCCGTAGGACTTGGTGTAGTGGTTTGCAGCGAAGGTCGTTGCATACATACAACTGTATTACTTTTCTTTGGCGTTTTCCATTTTTTTAACAAAAAATAAGCAATCGTGTGTTACTGTTTACATTATATTTGCTTCACTACAAATGCAGAAATCGGACTCCATAAACCAGTCGTAAATGTTATATAAACTACTTTTAAATGTGAAAACAGACTATTCAGTGCATTTTATTAAATACAAGATACTTTATGACTTCCTTAAAAAGTTTTGTTATTATCTCATGCTTTCTATGTTGCTGGTTTAAAAAATTGAAATATTGCACAATGAGAACCATTTTTGTTTTATAGACTTATACACGTATAGACTTATAGACGTATTGACTAATACACAGTCAACCATGTGCATTGTAACGATACGCACTTTAAAATTACATTTTTGTTTTCTATAAATGATTCTGACACCCTAGCGGACTAAACATCTTTATGAATACCTAAAAGATGTGGACTAAAGCAGGAACTGTACAGGTGTATTATCGGAAAGAGGGGCTATGCATTACATGTATATTTAAGATTTGCCGATTTCCTTTGTTCTCTCTCTTTGGCATCTGATGGTTGCTTTTTTCTTTTGCTTAATTTCAGTCAATATTTGCATTTTTGACACTAGTAGTAATTTCATTACATAAAGAAGAATATATACATCAGGCTTTTATAAGACAGAGTAAACAAAATGAGATGCTGGACAGCATAGATTCAGTGAACTGCTCATTTATGTATATGATACCTTGATGATTAGATGACAACGGCTAGGGGTCAACGTGATAAGAGTTTGTCCAGATAAAAGCAAACATGCCCAGCCAACGACCTTCTATTTCGACCATTGGTCCAGCACGCTGACCAGGAGACTGATTCATCCCTCTAGAAGGTCTTGAATCTGCATGGGACCAGGAGGGTATGTATACATAAAGTTAACAAAACACTACCCACTAATTCCACATTTAAGGGACCTCCATTTAGTATCAAGTCATTATGATGTCCCAGAAAAAAAGATATGACAAATATAAAGATGACATCAAGTCAAACCTTTAAAAATATAGCCCGAAAAAAAATCAAATTGAAATCTGGGGAATTGTAAGTTAGAGAAAAAAGTGTTCAAATTACATGAAATGCTTTGAACTGATCAAGAACAAGAGCATTCAATCTCTTCAAGCACCTCTTTATGCGTTAAGATCGTTGTCTGTGGTCTGCCGGACACACCATGATTTGATGGCTTTTTTAAGCAGGGACATCCGACCCATTACCAAATCAAACGACTTTATTCATAGAATTTTAACTTGTCTAACATACAGGACTTCATTGTGCCACACAATGAAAGAACTCAAATATGGGTCAATGGGATTAACAAAATTTGAACTGTATCCAAGTCAATTACACGTGATACTCTTACTAAAAACCCTCAATCTTGATTTAACTACATTTAGAATTCTGGACGCCTGGGCTAAGTTAAAAGTGTACAAGCACATTGTGGTCATATATCTTCAAGGTTAAAAATTATTATGCAACGATTTTCTTATCAGTAATAAAGCTGCCAAGCGTTTGAAAAGTGCAGTATTTAGCGTTTTTCCGTCAGCTGAAAAAAAACATCGTATAACATTATGAATGAAAGATATTTGAAAAAATCTGAAGAATTTTATTTATCCAAAAAATTTAATTTCCTCGACATATGTTAATATCGATATTGACGAACTTAACCCGGCTTATTGGCCGGTTCCTGGTTTAAATTCATGGCCTCTGTGTTTAAGTTAAAAGCCACATAGGCATGGATTTTTTAGACTTTGTGCCACCAGCTACCGCCATCGTGATAATAGTTATGGGTCTATAAACTTTGTTTTTGTCACGATAAGGTCAGTAGAGGACAATGAACCAATACTTCAAATATAATTTCATCGTCTTTGGAGTTCGACATCGAAAGTGCAAAGTGAATTTTCATGTTTTTATATCTGTACGTGCTAATACGAATAGATCTGAACCTCAGAATTGATTAACTAGAAAGTTTTCTTGTGTGTAGCAAGAAAAAAATAATTAACATAATTATTGCATAAAGAAATGTTTATTCAAAAGGCAAAAAAACCCAAAATATGCAATCTTAAGTCAACAAACTTGTAGGTTCTTCGTGCTTAGTTGAAAACAGTGTTACAGGCCTAGCGATATTGCTGCCCTGTTTGGATAATGTTATGAGTTTAAGGGTCTTCTCTAATAAAGGTTACAACGTCTTAAATCCAAGAAAACATGAAGCCAGTTAAAATTCAGAACGTCTATAAAACGAAAGAGCAAACTAGTTTAGATTTCAACTGAATAAATTAACAGAGAATATCTATGATGTGTTGACAAGGCACTGTCATTGTCAGTGGGTATTAAACCAGTTAGACCTGAAAAATACATATACATATACCATTAAAGTTTATAAATAAGAGAGAAATTCCATTTGATTGTTAAAACTACAATTTAGGTGTCTGCGCATGTGCATCGATTTGCATATATCAGCCACCAGGTAGTAAGTCCTTATCTCGGACCGTTTTTAGATCTATTTAAGCAGCCACTTTTTGCAGAAATCAACGGCTAATTTTTGTCCCGCACAACAGTCGTAGTAAACGCCTGCATCCTCGCAATCGGCCCCACACAGAAAACAAAAATCGAAATGAATGGCGTTACTTTTGCATTTAGCTTCACGGTTAATGGATTTTCGGAGTGGCCTTTGAAAATAGAAATTGGAAGAATCCTGGTTTCTTTTCCAAATCGCACTGTAGGCCTTGTATGGAGACATTTTCTTCCAAATCGACATGGTGTTTCTGCCTCTCTTTTCAACGTCGTTGTCTTCTCTTGTTGCGCCTTCGTAACCCGCAGGCGCCTGCAGGTTGTCGTCGTCTGCGACATGAGAAATGGGAGTTAGCCAGATACGATCCGTAACATCGGCTTCCGCTGAATTAGAAGCAGCGTCATCTTTTTTCCAAATTGCCGATAGGTTATTTCTCCCCCTTTTTCGCCATATAGAACTCATGCCATGCCTGCTGCCAGTTTCTGAATTTCTCCGCCAGATCGATGAAACCGAGTGAGACGGATTTGCAGCGTCGACCACAGTTACTATAGCATACAATGCAAATATGACGGACGCTGCCATCTCTAAAAATGAGAAAATTGAAAACATTTATGATTATAAAAATAAGAAATATTAGGATATAAATTATGTTTATATTACAAAAGTGTCATAATGTTTAGGATGTAGCTCGCCGTTGCAAAAACTTTGGACAGAATTTGAAAACAAGGCAGTATAAAACTTATTTGACGCACCACGATTACCAGGGGAATGTTGCAACGGCATGACGTATACAAATGAAACTCACGGGTGTGGATGTTGTTTCTGTTTCCTAAAGTTTATAAATAAAAGTGGCAGTTTTTTTACAGCAGGTTGTCATATTAAATTAGGGGACATCAAAAGAAATGGCTGTACATTATTTATCAATGTGCAGGCGAATGACTGCTTTCTAAAGTCACACATGCAAAGTTGAGATACCATATCAGCAAGTCTTAAAGTGCCTGACTGTGTTACAGATATAGAAAAGCAAAAAAAAAAAAAAAAAAAAAAGAAAAAAATTACTATCTCTTAATTAAAACATATTCGTCTTTCAGTCATGTGAATTAGCTTTGTGGCAAGTAAGAAACGTTTGTTGCAATGAATGCGAGAACAAATGTGATTAGATATAAATAAATTTAATTCTTTGACTAAATTTCACCAAGGAATTTCAGTTGAATGATAGTCATAGCTTTAAGACTGAAAACTTAAATCCACTTCAAATTAAGTTACAGACCGACAGTTGCTTTGGTTGGCCAACTTGAATAACGACTACCGATTTATCTCGGCTTTTCGGTCTCAATGTAGCATCTTTCAGGTACCGTTACCAAGAAACATAAGCAGAACCCACCAATACAGACGTTATCTTTCGTTATCACAAAGCAGATAGGTATTAGATAAGGAAATTGACTTCGTATTTTTTCATAATAGGAATACACTGTTATTCTACATCGAAAGTCTGGGTTGCGACAAACCGCTTCGGATATCAACTATTTCCATGCAATATTACTTAGGATAACAGACGCACATAAATTGAAACCAATTTTTATAATTGCCAGTTTGCTTTAAAAGTAACCACCAAAAACAAGGCAGTTGTTTGATCTGTTATTGTTTTAACAATAAAGAGGCTCTAAAAAGAACATTAAATCGTCTACGAGGAGAATCAGCCTCAAAGTATGGCATTTACTAGCCCGTTACTGGTCTCCCATATAGACGGATGGGGGCGATCCTGTTCCCATTACTAGACTTGAATGACATCTACATCCGACAGGAGTCGCACTTCATAGTTAATCAAACAAAGGAAATGCCTTCCCGTGGCCTCTGAGAAGTACCGGAAATGGTGGAATGGTCACGATGAAAGGACAATGCAAATGCTTCTTACTATGCATTGTAAGCCCATTGATTCCAATCATTTGGTTTTGAAAGTTATCTGAGATATATATATATATATATATATATATATATATATATATATAGATAGATAGATAGATAGATGGATAGATTATCTGATAACATCTCGCAGTAGATGATTTTAGGGGGAATAGATTCCGAGATGGTGATTCGAACTTTACAGATTGTGCGACATGATCAATACATGTCTACTTTGGTAGACAGCAGAAAATAACGTGCAGCCAATTTTTGCCATCAGCAAACTTAGACTTTCAACTCTAGCTTATCCGAACAGTATAATTCTTGTTTCACTATCATCCTCTCACTTTTTTCACATTTGTCCGTTCTGAGAAACGAATGTTGAAATTCGCTGGTAACTTGCAGATTAAAAAACAATTAGCTTGAACTTTCACTTGAATCATATCTTCTATTTTGCAAAAGATTTACATGCATCATAATTGAAAGAAGAAAAAGCACCCATCTAGATGTAAATCAAATCAAAACATTGTCTCTATACAAGCGTCTTATTGGTTTTAATAAGTGTCATTTAGCAGAGAAAATTTTGCATCAATGTTCCAAAAGGCGTAATCTTGAGATTCCCCTCACAGCGAGCCAGGAGAGTCAGAGGGGCAATTGCAGCATACTTGACAGTACGTAAGCGAAGGAGCGGTGCATTTCAACAAGGTGGCATTTATATGATAGTTTAGGCAAGAAGTTGTAAAACTTCTTGGTTTAGGCAAGGCGTCACATTAACACAATAAGCTAAAGAGTGGGCAGAGCCCATCTTTTATCGAAGCTCATAACATCTGAAGATAAATCGTTCCTTAACTGTCTAAAGGCAGACAGAATCTGTCTCGGTAGCGCTAATTGCACTTGTATAAAAACACGAAATACGGCTCGGCATCAGTTTAAATTGGATGCGAGGCTACACCGGTATTAACACCTAAGATTATGTGAGCAATATATTAGATTTTCAATTGCTTCTCAGTGATTGAACCGGTAATCGAATGTACTAATGCAAACCATCTCTTGGAAGGCTGACATACAAAGTTAGGGACAACTCGTTTGATGATAATTGATCAAACTTCTCACTGTTGATGTCAGTTTCGAAAGCTTCGGAAGTGATACTTCATGTTCAACGGGTCGAAAAGGTAATGGTTGACGTAGCAGAGTAAGAAGTAGCGGTCTCTACCGGAGATAAGCCTACTGCAAAACAAGATCCGAGCGTTTCTGTTAAATAAAGCGCATTCAATACGTTTGTTTACCTAACTGTAAAAAGGTGATTATCGACCGGGTCTGTTTACAGCAATTAGCGGAATTTGAACAAAAACTGACACTATCGTGTACATTCGAATTCAAATGTATAATACTTGGTCCACATTTTTTAAAATAAATTCATAGATAACGATGACCAAATGGGTTCATTTATGAAGATCGAGTTCAACATATTGTATTTTAATAATTCAAAAATATGCAAGTTATAGCTCCATCAGAAGCACGATTTGTTTTGATAAAGGTAACTAGTAGTAAAATTTTGTGATGTGAAATTCATTGTTATTGGTGTCTATACTTGTAATATTTGTTTCTTTTCATATAGTCGTTTTTATCTGTCATGCTCATTAAAAATGCATGTTAAGCGACTCTGATGACAAATCATTGCCACTAAATCCTCCCAATTGCCACCACGACTGAGAGAAATACCTATATTACAAGTCACAATATTACCTGTAAAAATTATATTTGCACAGATATTTTCTGCTTATCTTCTGTGCTTTACGGAGGTAAAACTTTTGAACAGATACATGTATTTAGCCTTTTGCTGCCTAAGAGAACAGTTAATTTTTTGGCAAGTATATTTGTTGTGTAAAATCTAGTGTAAGAATTAGTAAACGTTACTAGGTATCAACTATCGCTTAATATGCTGTATATCTTTAAAAGGATAGCAATCTTTATTAAGGGATCCATATTTCACAATAAATACATTGGAAACGACTCATAGAAATATAATTAATTCTATTTTGCCCGAAAACGTCGGTTATCACAATTATTCTGGAATCTGTGCTTGCCATCGGATCACGTGACTTTCATAGATGGCTGCCCCATGGCTGCCCCATAATCTCGTAAAATATTATTTAAAAAACTTTTGGGGTTTAATCCAGGACCTAACTTTAAATGTACATGTCGGAATGGATTCATTCACCATTGGTAAGTGTGGAAAATTGTCCTTTACCTCTGAAAAATCCATTTTTGACCAAAATGCGCAGTTGATACCCCTTTAAGTTTGGACCCTTTTTTATTTGCTGATAAACTTATGTTTAGTCTATTCTTGCATCGTCACATTATATCGTAATCTTAGTTTTAGAAAGTGTTGACATATAGATGTAGTCATTTTTATCTATTGCTTGTAGCAAATTTTCTGAATGGAATTTTGCAACCAACATGGCGAAATTCATTCTTTTAAATCGGGGACGAATGAAAACAGATAAAACTGCAATACACTGCTATATGCGAATTCCCGAAAGTACCCACAGTACAGAGCGTTTTATTTGACCCTATCTCTTGACTGTAGTCATCAAACATATGCAGCAGAGGCCAACGGGATTATTGAATTTTAGCTATGAGGAGGTGGTATACTGCTAAAATGGTTACCAAATATGTGCTACAATACCCGAGGCCTTTTTTAAAAGATCGAGTGCTGCTACGCCAGTCTATTTCGCCTGTGTGACGGAGCATTAGTCATTGGATAAATGCCAATAAATAAAAGACATATGTCTTTCAGTGCATGTTTTATGGGGAAATGTTATCTAAGATTATCAATGCCTTTGACAATGAAAGAAAGGAAAAGAAAGAAGATCAACCCACGATGGACTTGAGAGTGGCAGTAACATTTATACTAACCGTGTTAGGGAAGCTCGGAGACGTATCAAATCAAATCACTCAAATGTACGTCAGGATCGGTCTCTGCTACTAGAAGGAGTTTAATGGTTACCTGACAGGCGGGCATCTAACGAAGACAAATCGGCATAAATAAACTCTAATAGGGGATGGAGAGGCAGGAAGCATTGAGCTGATGGCTCTACTGATAGAAAAAACAACTATTACACAAGATATCTTCAACGTGCTTAATTCGCCTCGCGGGGGAAGGCATCACAGGAATCGTGTCACGGGACACATTCCGGGAGATAAAATGTATTAACAGCTCTTAGGTTGGCAATCAGTTCGATTGTTATCGGGAGGTACGCCCATCATGAAAACAGTATGGGTAATCCGTTTCCACGTGGCAGTATACATTAAATAAGTGTCTTGATAGATTTGTCAAATGGCTTATTTTGTACATATACATAGTCTGCAATCTCTCTCTCTCTTATTTGTTAATAAATGGCGCGAGATCATTACTGGCACATTTGAACCTGCAATAACTTCTTAATTTGATATCTCTTATTGGACCCTCTGGTTCTACAAGAAATCCTTCGTTGGGATATTGAGGCAACTGTAAATTTAGATTACTTTCAGATCAGAATTACACCAGCAGTTTAACCACAAAAAACTACGACTCTCAGTCGTGTGGATTGGACCAATACAAGAGATTTTTGTAGTTTCTTTTAATCTTTTGGTAGACACACACACACACACACACACACACAAAGACAAGAAAATGAAAGTCAGCGAACAGATTAAAAACAGGTTAAGGACACAATTTTTGTAGGCAATATTCCGGATATCAAGAATATGCATTTATTAGAACACAGTCATTCATGTTACCTCTATAGCCACAAAAACCAAACCTGAATGGTAAAAAACTATGAATTCGATATTCATGTCTAACACCGCCCACTGTCTGTCTAGGCCCATTTATCAGAGCAAAAAAGGCTCAACACATTTTGAACTGGTGGGCGGTTGTAAGCCAGACAAATGGGTTCTGACTTCTGTTTTGCAAACACTGAAACAACTAGAATATTGATAATCCATAACAAACGTGTCATGTGACTGTACAAATAATAATAATAATAATTATTATTATTATATATTCCGTAAAGTAAAATGCCAGAATCTGCTCGTTTTTTTATGCGTATGGTTATGTTGACGGCACATGAGAGAAGAATTGGTACAAATGCTATGAATGTTACGAATCTTGAATGCATTTTCCATTCTCCTCTATGAACGCCCCATTTTCAACTTCACTTTATTCACTTATACTTATCATTTTATTTATTTCGATAGGCCACACCGAAATCCCTTACCATCTCTAGTAATTATGAGTCTCCGTGCGTTTTTTTCTTTTTCTTTTTGTCTTGTTTACAAATAGTTTGATTATAGGATATGTAAGTCATGAAATAGAAATTAACTCCGGAACTCATTTCATGTCAATACAAAGAAACCACCCTCACGACTTAAACGATTCACAACGCTACACCACGCCTTCTTTGCGTTCTTTCATTAAGCCAAGGAGGAAATTACTTCATGAAACGTATTATTGCTTTACAGTTATGAGAGTCCTGGTAACAAGTTTTACTTATTAGTTTTATCAGTTCGCAGATAATTTTGGGAAAACCCACATTAATGCATTAAGCCAGCTGTATTAATCCCGTTTTATGTTGAACATTTATAATATAAATGATCTTTCTGAGACTAAAATTTCGCCTAGATTTATCATCTCCTCAGGGTCACCCTTCATTGGGTCGTCTTTTCATTGGTTTGATGGATTGGTGACTGTCTGTTAACAGGATAATTCGACAAGTTGCCTACAGGCGATAATATAAGGTTTTAGAGGATATGGTCACAAGAAGTGTAAAAAATCGAATTGGGATTTGGGATTGGCGTGGGGTTTTATCATTGCATTTTGGTTGCTATATATATTTTTATATTAGGAATTGTCCATCAATTTGCTGAGAAGGAAGATCAACGTTTTCGAATTCAATTCTTGTCTTATGCAAATATAGATGTTTATTTCACTTAACGTTCATTACAAATAGAGTATGTTAGCGCTAACTACAAATAGAGTATGTTATATTTTCGTTCGCAAATGCCTTTGACATGTTATAGCAGAAAAAAAGAAACGCAAAGATTCGAAATAATAAACATGTCCTTAAGCTAAAAATTCAAAAGGAGATACTCATCCTTGTTTACAAGATACCGCTTTTTTGTATAGCGCTCAGTCAATATCGGCGAGGTGCCATAAACTGAAGACTGTTCGCTGTCCGGAGCTGGAGGTCGTGCGTTCGATCGATGGCCTGCTTATAACGAATATCGTCATAGAAAATACTAGTGTCTTCTCGCTAAGCACCCAGCGAAAGAGCTGAAGGCAGGGGCTTGGGTGGAGGATCGAAGTTTAAGTGGCATGTTTGGATAGTTCACTGCCAAGATAACATACTTTTAGGGGAAATTGGAAAGCTAAAGAAATCTACAAAAAGTTACCCTGTCACTAATTGCGACTATCCTGGCGACAGCACTGGTATACATACCGGGCATGGTTTTAAGAACTTTTCATTGCAATAGCATATTTGTAACAGCAACACAACAACACGTTCGGTATTTGAACTCAACGTCACTCGTTCTATATGTATGTCTGGTTATGTAATGTGATAGCTACGCGTATTTAAGTAACCTCATTACCCACCAGTCTAAAAAAAATACAAGTACGCGAAAGAAGTTTAACCATTCAGTTGAGACTTATCAGGTTGCTGAAGAGACGTTCCATAATTCCATTGTTATCATATCATCTTTGTGATGTTTATAGTATACAAAGGTTACGGACCATTTATATCCTGCACAGAACCATGAGCGATTTGCAGTTCAATAAAGCTTAACTTGAAAGTCGTGGAAAAATATGGTGCATTCTTTGAAGTTCTAAGATAATTGTTCAACAGGGCACCACAACTTAGAGCAATCGTCGTCAACATGCCGAGAGAACGTGGCTACAATTTGAAAAAAAAAAAAAAAAAAAAAAAAAAACCGCCTGAAGTGCTTGTTACATGTATCATCAACTTGCGTATAAACTCGGGCAGTATCAGATAGGTCAACATCGCTCTTATTTCATTTGCTAATTGATTAACAATGGGATATAGGCCAGGGTAACTTCATATGCAATCGGTCACCTCAAAATGATAAGAACGCAGGTGCGAGTACATTAAAACAAAGCAAATATAAGTAGGTGAAAACGCGATGAAGAATTTGTCACTTCTGAAGGAGCAGGTGCTGTAGCTTTTGGCATTAATGCAAATACAGGTATAACCTTATAATTGTGAACAGCTTTATTGATAAGACACATGCGATGATACTTCTCAAAACTGAAGGATTGTATTAGCACGGAATAATGTTTTGATTTTATAGCAAACTGCAATAAAGATTAAAGAACTTTGCTGCACTCCGTGTATTCATATCATTACACCTTGCGTGTCTACTTTAACATATTACTGTTTTACTGTTTAGTCGTAAAGGCAGATTTTTGTAGGAGAACACATTACTCTTTCATACGAAGACGCTAAACAGAACTGTTGGACAACAAAAAAGTAACGAATTATTTTTATGATTATCATTTCGCAGACACCGTCAGCAGAATAATATTTGGCAGCCGGACAGCTATGTCACTAGGAAACAAATAAATAACAACCAGTCAGTTGCATTTTATGAAAACTTTATATCCTCAATTATGCGCTCTGAGAAAACAGCTTGCCATATTCTTAATGACTTCTAAGCCCAGAATCTAAAACAAATATGAGTCGTAAAACCGCCAAGTTTTCTCTTTTTTGTTTAAGCATTTGGAATTGGTTTTCTTCAAACTTTTGGGCAAACCACATGAAATGTCTCAAAAAGATCTTGTGAATTAAAACAACTTTCGGGATACTTATTAAAAATAACGGTTTGAATCTTGATACTTATTAAAAATAAAAAATACGTACTTGTAAACTTGAAATATGCACGGCAATTATTCAAAAAGTTCACAAACAAAGGTACTTACTGTACTGATGCTCTCTGGACATTGTAAACTTTTCTTTATCAAATGCCAGTGGACCTTGGAAATCTTGAACTGGACAAGGCAACCTGCTGTGGATCGTCGTAGTTATGCTGTAGCGTAGAAGTTGCCGTTTCAGAGTCCGGTCCGCGTGTGTGGTAGAATGCCGTTGCTGCCTCGTTTTTAAAGGCGATAATCACCGAAGATAATCTCACAGCTCGAGATCCAACAAATAATCAGACGTCATGATATTTAAAAACCGAGAGGCTGCTGTTATTAACATCTGTTGTTTTCTGGAAAGGGTGACATTTATTACGCAAGCAATTAGACTGACATCCCACGGAGAAGACTGAAACTCTTTCGTGTTTTTTTTATTGATAACATTTTTCAGCTACATGAACCATAAACAACCCTTAAGGAGTCTCAATAATACATTATACTTCGTTCGGTGATTACATACATCCATTGTCTTTATTGATGAGTCCAATTATCTGTTAAACGCTGCCAACACTTGAGAGACTGAATGAGAGAGGAAAAGAAAGAAAGACAGAGGCGAGGAGAGAGTGTATGAGAAGGAGAGATGCGTGTGAACCTCAGCTGTCATCCTCAAAGTGTAATTTACCTGATAAAGCCACTCGATATATCATATTGAGTAATACAACGTCAAACCAAACACTCAACTTGCAGTTTTTTTGTGCTACATGTCACCGCACTGTCATTGTGTCAATTATGAACAGGTTGTGTTGCCACATTTGAAAATAAAGTTGATCAAAACCCAATTTTGAATTGTTAATGTATCCAACTTGTAGATTAGTGCTAAGCGAATGTTTATTTACTGAGCTTGAAATATAAGCACTTTATCAAACTTTTTCACCGTTTGTTGTTAGTGTGTGACTTTTCTTGTTTTAAGAGGCACTGGAAAAGTAAATAGGCCTAATGCTTTGGCCTTAACGTTACGTGCCAGCTGTCAACTAATAGGAATATTCATGGCCACTTTTTTAAATTTATCAATTTAACTTCATAATTTCACCCAGGTGAGCTCAGCAGTTATATAAGCAAAGAGGAGGGGGGAGTAGAAAACCTAACGCTTGGGTTATCTGTATGTATAAATTATAATCCTAGCATCATCACTATTTGGTCATAAAATACAACAATAAGTTCTCTGTGCAGGAAGGTACTGTACTGTGCTAGGTTTTTGTGTCATTTAACAATTTTTCTCCTAGGATACATCAATTCATAACCACAATAAAAGAAATTTTAGGTCACATTAACAAAGTGCTATATTAAATTACAGAACTCTTTGTGGTAAAAACTGTTGAGCTGCTGAGGCAAATGTCAAAAAAAATAAATTGCAAAAAATATATAGACACAAGACAATCGTGCACTTTCAGAAGAAAGGTCTTGATAACTGATTCTTTTATTAAATAAAGTTGAATGTTCAACATTCCTGAGAATGTGTGTTAACACGATTGACGACTTTGCATTCCACTTTCAGAAGAGGCCTATTACACAATGGGGCAAGTAATTTTCTCCCCAATAAAGCAGACTCATTTTTCTTTTTGTCAATTAATAGACGAAGAAAATGCATCTGTCCATGTTTGAAATGAGTGTTGGGCACTGAAAGGCAATTAGACAATTTGAACCAAGCCTGCACGATCTGTCAGACCCAGCTTGTTCTGTAAACGAATTAGGTAGACCCAGATCAACAGGCTGTATCACAGTTACAGCCTCCTATGTAATCAAGCGCACAGCACTGATCCAGAATTCTACTGCCACTTGACACGCAAGGAGGGAGCTACAGTGACAAAGGAAAGTATTAGCCTGTTGTGTAAATGCATGCATGTGTGAGTATGTGTATGTGTGCATGCTGTTCCAAGATCTATCTCTACAGGCTCCCATGGCCAAACACCTCATTTCCTCAACTTTTAATAAGTTCCAAATCACCCTATCTGCCTCTAATGATTTCACAATGTGTTGATGATAGTGACAATTTTTTGTGAATTCATCTATTCTGTGCCTTTGTCATTTTTCTTCTCTTAAAATCATTAAGGAAAACCATTTAGCTGTGATAAACCACAAAAAAGGCAAAAATGATGGATTGTACTAATCTTTAATGAATCTTTCCTTTACTCGCTCATATACTTTAATACCACATAATATAACAACTTTGTTAAATTGCATAGGTATGATAATTTGTAGAAGTAATTGTTGGATCATTACAANTAATGCTTTGGCCTTAACGTTACGTGCCAGCTGTCAACTAATAGGAATATTCATGGCCACTTTTTTAAATTTATCAATTTAACTTCATAATTTCACCCAGGTGAGCTCAGCAGTTATATAAGCAAAGAGGAGGGGGGAGTAGAAAACCTAACGCTTGGGTTATCTGTATGTATAAATTATAATCCTAGCATCATCACTATTTGGTCATAAAATACAACAATAAGTTCTCTGTGCAGGAAGGTACTGTACTGTGCTAGGTTTTTGTGTCATTTAACAATTTTTCTCCTAGGATACATCAATTCATAACCACAATAAAAGAAATTTTAGGTCACATTAACAAAGTGCTATATTAAATTACAGAACTCTTTGTGGTAAAAACTGTTGAGCTGCTGAGGCAAATGTCAAAAAAAATAAATTGCAAAAAATATATAGACACAAGACAATCGTGCACTTTCAGAAGAAAGGTCTTGATAACTGATTCTTTTATTAAATAAAGTTGAATGTTCAACATTCCTGAGAATGTGTGTTAACACGATTGACGACTTTGCATTCCACTTTCAGAAGAGGCCTATTACACAATGGGGCAAGTAATTTTCTCCCCAATAAAGCAGACTCATTTTTCTTTTTGTCAATTAATAGACGAAGAAAATGCATCTGTCCATGTTTGAAATGAGTGTTGGGCACTGAAAGGCAATTAGACAATTTGAACCAAGCCTGCACGATCTGTCAGACCCAGCTTGTTCTGTAAACGAATTAGGTAGACCCAGATCAACAGGCTGTATCACAGTTACAGCCTCCTATGTAATCAAGCGCACAGCACTGATCCAGAATTCTACTGCCACTTGACACGCAAGGAGGGAGCTACAGTGACAAAGGAAAGTATTAGCCTGTTGTGTAAATGCATGCATGTGTGAGCATGTGTATGTGTGCATGCTGTTCCAAGATCTATCTCTACAGGCTCCCATGGCCAAACACCTCATTTCCTCAACTTTTAATAGGTTCCAAATCACCCTATCTGCCTCTAATGATTTCACAATGTGTTGATGATAGTGACAATTTTTTGTGAATTCATCTATTCTGTGCCTTTGTCATTTTTCTTCTCTGAAAATCATTAAGGGAAACCATTTAGCTGTGATAAACCACAAAAAAGGCAAAAATGATGGATTGTACTAATCTTTAATGAATCTTTCCTTTACTCGCTCATATACTTTAATACCACATAATATAACAACTTTGTTAAATTGCATAGGTATGATAATTTGTAGAAGTAATTGTTGGATCATTACAAAACATGCACAGTAGCATTTCATAAACAAATGCCTATGTACTGTACAAATACCTATTTACTGTATTCTAACTGCATTGTTTGGGGTGAGTTTACAATAAAACTATCATAATAGGTAGTTTGAACTAACTCCATGGAGACTCTTGCAAAATGCAATCCGATATACACCCTTCATCTCATTTCCAGTGTATTGGTTTAATCACCAGTTTTTTCCTGAATTCTACTCAACACCAGGAGGAGGCATGTTAATATGTTAATCTGAGGGGACATGTAAATATGTTAATCTGATTGCATTCAGTGAGAGTCCCCAGGGTGTTAGTTTAACTATCTAGTCTGATAGTTTCTTTGTGAATACAGCCTTGGTTAGATGTCAAAAATACTTTTCACAGTTACACCTCAGCAATACAGCTGTGACGATATGATTTGAAAGGTTTTATGATGTAATCATGCCAAACTAGTTTTTACTCCCTTAATTAATAATCCATGTAGAGTGTACAGGGGCGGATTGAGGCTGTCTTCTGGATTTTCCAGAAGATGGTCAGATTTTCAAGTTTACGTTGACAGGTATCTAATTTCGGAAGACGGTCAAAAATGGAGGATAAATCAACAAATATAATTTGGAAGACCGTCAGAAAATATCTCTGGAACCTCCCGTGGTGTAGATCCCATTTAGGCTAGCTTCCATCAAACTCGACCAAGGTGGCTCTCCCACGTGAAAGCCAGGCTATTATTTGTCAATCTCTCACAACATATCAGCACAGCTGTATCCATAATTTATGTTGAAAGGTCTTTTGTCTCCAAGCTGAACTTTATTAAAGGAAAATAATGTTAAAAATGTAAGTTGACAATAAGGCATGGTCAGACATTGTGTGATTGAGCAGGCAAGTTTTAATATACCTATAACACTTCACTCATGCTGATATGGTAAATTGATAATGATAAAACTGATCCAGAATAAAAATTCAAAACTTCATAAATTTGATGATCTTCATGATAATGGTGTGAACATTCTTCAAAAATTTCTTATGCAGAATATCTAATCGTGGAGAGATATCCTATATGGTTCAGGAATGTACTGTAGTACGCCTAAAATAAATGAAATATCTTTGCAATAAAAGACTTTTAAAGTGTAAATATCACAAGAAAAGGAAATAATTTTAATTTAAAACAAAAGAAAACTCAAATTAAGCATCATTTAAATTAAGGATAAAATAGTTAAATTTGACCTTCGGAGCTTAATAGTAGTTGCATACATCTACTTTACAGTTTGTTCATGTTTGTAAAATCATATTATTGGTATTGTCTAGTGATGCATGTTGGTTGTATATGGCTTTATACATTTTAGGTGTTATACATCCCTTACCTTTGTCATCTAGGAATTTCCTGCTAAAAAGCTTTGCATAATACCTCTGAAATGTTAAAAAAAAAGCAATATCAGAACTCTTACTTTTAAACCTTTCTAATTTTGAAGCAGTAATTCTTTATATCACAGTTTTAAACCAAAGCAATAACCTTGAAGTTTCAGACCAATGAAGATTAAATCATATGAAAGGAACTAAATATTTTTTGATAAAATCAATGTGTGGTCCAAAGTTACCTGCCCGGTATCACACAATGCTGTTACTATGGTATGTCCAGGTCCCATTGATTTGGCCACTCTAACCGCTGCTGCTACATTAAGTCCAGAAGATGCACCAACAAAGAAGCCTTCCTCATGCAGCAGCCGGAATGTCTGATAATGACCAAGAAAATCGAAAAGGTTAACAATGACAGTTGAAAAACTGTAATGTTTGTTCTTCTCTAATTATACAAACAACATGTATATTTAGCTGTGCATGTCAGTATTGTCATTTGAGAGGATTGTTTGCAAGAATGTTCCATATCATAACAATAACAATAAATAAGTATATAAAAAACAAACTCATAATCTTATTGAAAACCCTTTTCAATGACAGTAAGTTGATTTCTGGAAAATTCTAAGAAATGGACAGAATTTTTGAAAACAATCAAGTAATCTGTCTGGCAATCATTTTTATTTGAAAAACAAGAGAATCACATTGACCATTTAATGGTTGAAGGGTCAACCTATGTACACAGTGCATTATGGAAAAGTAGCACATAGAAAGAAGTGTTTCAGAACTTAAATCAAAACTCATTCATCTGCGCTTAATGTGTAATACATGTAATGCCCCAGATGCAAAAATGGCAGGTGCTATGCAGAAAGGCAAGTTGCAGTCAAAATCTGTATTTATCTGTATTGTGTGATCAAAGGAAATTTCAGCGACACTGGCATGATCTATCGCACAAGCCCATTCTTGGGCATGCACAGTGTCAAATGTCGGGGAACTGTGAAATGGTCAATAGACAGTCTACAAAACACATACCTAAACTACAAGCACTTAAATTATCAAGAAAATGTTACTTACATACTCAACTGCCTCCTTGTCTGTGATACACATAGCATCATCTATGGGGGCTCCTTCTAGATTTGAAGTGACCCTGCCCTGACCTATTCCCTCTGTGATGGAGTTACCCTCTGACCTCTCCAGTTTACCATGTTTAAACCAGTTGTACAACACACTGCCCTGAAATAGTGAACATGGTTGATTATATAGTAGATGCTGTGTTCATCAATAAAGCTATAATTTTTCCTTAAAGTTGAATTTGTAAAGGGTTGATAGTAAGTATAATCAGTAATGTTTAGTATGCATGTACATGTATGTACACAAGAGAGAGAGACAGAGAGAGAAAGATGTGTTCATTATCATGCAACTATCTAAGAAATGATAGAAAAATGTTTATCCCAGTTTATTCCAGTATTTTACCTGTGGATCTGCTAAAACAACTTGGATATCTTTGTTTTTTTCCTTTAGGTAAGTCCCAACTCCTGAATATAACTATAACCAATTACTTGCAAATAACATTTAATCAAAACAGCAATTAAAGCAAAACAATATTAGATATGTACATATCTTGTTGTGTTGAAAAGTATGTTGTATTTAGATACAGTGTTTTAAGGAATAAATTCCAGCATGTACATGTTTTTTTGCCTCAGAAAACACTATTGTTGCATCTCTTAGCAAAGTGGATGTGTGTTTGAATATATATTTAGAAAACACATTTTCCACAACTGTATTTTTTTATAACATGTTTCAAGAAAAATATATAGAGCTGGATTCTAGAAACATAGCACATTTTGTCATTACTAATTATGTACCTGCTAATGTTCCTCCTGTACCAGTTCCAAATGTCACAGCACTCACTTTACCATCTAAAAAATAATACATCAATCATATAATCAAACTGTAAATAAATACAACTTATAATACAAGCTTAAGTCACGGATCACTGTTTGCATAAGATGTTTTAAATCAGCCTGTAATGTATGTTAAATAAGACAGATAATTTTTTATGATAGGCTTTGCTTTCCTTTTGTGAAATCCCACGTGTACAGAATTATGCCAAACAGTTAGAGGCAAATGCCACAAATTCATGGGATCTAAATTAAGCCAGTTTCTCAGTTGAGTGGCATAATATATATATATATATATATATATATATATATATATATATATATATATATATATATATATATATAATTTAGTATTAGAAAATTAGGTAAATTTACAACATGCTAACATTATCCCAGACATTCTCATTTCTCTAGCTATATAAATATCCCAGAAAAGTGTGGACACAGTTTTGAAGACAAATGATCACCTTCAGCGCTATTTATGGAATAAGAGACCGAATATTACAATATTTTCAATATATCATTCATTACATCCCTAACTCAATACTAATTGAAACAAGGGGAGTATATTGTTAACATGAGTTACAGCCCAATGAATGTCAATAAGTAACAAAAGTTAATAGCATTGAGTAAATGTACTGGTAGAAAGTACACTAAGAATGCACCTGCATGATCTGAGGCATGCTTCCAGAAACCAGACAGTAATCAAGTGTCATTAGGTTTACATTCAAAACCAGGTTGTTGGTAATTGGATTTGAATCTTCTGTGCATCTTCTATTAGTTTGATAACAGTAAATGCTTAAAAAGTTATTATGAAAGTTCAAAAGACCAACTGTGCTATAGATAAGTAATTTTGTTGCATTTAAAGCATTAATTGAGTTGCCTACTTTGATCACTCTTGAGGCCATCACACATGAATAACTTAGACTGCATTCCCAGAGATTTAGATCGATCCATCTAGATCGACCTAACTCCCTGGAGGTTCAGGCAAAATTGCTGTCACCATAGTCAATTACCCCATCACAGCTTTTAGTAGGCGGGACAGACATTTAAGCCTGTTAAGCTGACAAAAATCTAGTGAGACTCCCCAGGGGGATAGATCGATCTAAATATCTATGGGAATGGGGTCTTACTGGTATCACAAGAAAGAGGTTGTTAATGCAACAGCTATTTTAATCTCAAACACCTTGGATGCATCACATTAATATAAATATATTTTCCCGGTTTACCAAATTAATACAGTCTGGCTATTCTATGATATCAGTACATAATACAATCTCTTAACTCAAGGGGGTGAAAGTCTCACAAGGGCTTAATTGCAATTCAACAGGCTCAATTTTCACTCTTCATTTCAAAAACCTAATATCAAATCTGTGCCAGACTCTTACCTAACAAGTATACTGACGGCCCACATCTTACCTGTCTGCTGCCATATTTCTGGTCCTGTAGTTTCTATGTGTGCTAATCTGTTGGCAGTGTTGTCAAACTGATTTGTCCACACAGCATTATCCAAACTTTCAGCAAAACGTTTAGCCTATAATATGATATGATATGATATGTTATGGTATAATTTTGTGTTTTGAACTGAGAAAAACAAGACATAAATCTAGATATTGAGTGTTTTTTCAAGGTAATAAATTCATGTGTTGATGACCATTTATTGCAGTGCGAGATTTTTCAAATGGCCAATTGCTATGGGCAACACTATCAAAAAGACATTAAGCTTATATCTGTGATAACCTGCCACCATGACGGACAAATAGAAAGCCACAAATGCTGAACAAAAATTTGATTTACAGTGAATCAAACAAAAGTAATTATTGGTGTTTCCATGTGGTCATTACGTTGAGAGCCAAGAAATGCGATAATGACCTAGGCTTTAACTTGTGGTCATTATTGAAATTCTAAGGTCTGGAAAAAAATGTCCAGAGGAAAAGTCAATAATTGCTTTCTACAATATGACATCTTTGATAGTAAACAAACCATAGAGAACTAGGAAAAATTGAACTCAGTAACTGTGAACATGAAAACATTCTTTTTCACTTCCTTTCAAACATGGGTTTAAAAACACATCACAAAATAATATATTTACTGAGACTTTCCACCAGTCGTGGGACCATCAAGTCCTTTAAAAAATTATACCTTCTGATCCCTAACCAATATTGACTGGTTTGGAGATCAATACGGTATAAAATTGACTGGACTGCCCTTCAATCAACCAGTAAGAGTCAAAATTCATGATCATGTAATAGAATAGAATAGAATAGAATAGAATAGAATAGAATAGAATAGAATAGAATAGAATGTCCGCTCTATTGTCACATGAATGGCAAAAATGGGCACACTACATTACCTGGTGGTTATAATTATTGGGGTCTGACCATGCTACTGCAGGGACTGGTCTTACATCTGCTCCCAAGGTTTGAAGTAACTCAATTTTTTCCTGAAAATATGCAATATTTTTAGTTCTTAAAATCAACTTTCATTTTTCTTCAAAATATACCATCACATTATAGTTTTTTTAATGTAAATACAAGTGTCTATATTTCCACTTTAGACAGCACTTTAGCAAATCAGCCACTAGTGTTCTAATGTGTTATTTTATCATTAAACTAATCAATTTTGGGGATTTTGGAAGATATATATATATATATATATATATATATATATATATATATATATATATATATATATATATATATATATATATATAT